CAAACAACAAACTAAAACATCGAAAATAAACAATTTCAGTTATCACTATTTTACCAATTATCGATAAAACATTATCTATACAGTGTAGCCAAATAGAAAATATTTTTTTTCAAGTTGTAAATTTAAGAAATATAGTAGATATTGTTAAATAAAGTTCATGACATATTACGTATGTTATAGTACGTAACCGCTACTGATAATTTTTGCTAATTATTGTTGATAAACACGATTTTGTGATAAATAATAAACATAATGTTTATATTGTTTATAATACTATATTATTGAGATAGTGAAATAGTTTTGACATCCAAAAATTGAACTAAAAATATTTTGCACGGATCCAAACACATTGTTGCCTGTGGACAACGCTATGCATTGTAGGGTTAGTTAATAGTTTTAGAAAATTCATAATTTATATTACATATAAGAAAAATATATACATGTTTTATTTCTGAGATTCTTTTTATTTAATAAAATATTTTTCACAATATCTGTAGCAAAAACTGCTTACTAATCATATTAAAAATATTTTCAGTTTCATAATATTATTTGCTATGTAGATCAGTAGTTTTAAACTGATGTTCCCGAGAACATATATATTCCACTAACTTAGATAGTGTACCAATAACTTCTGAAAATCAGTGAAAAAAATATAACTTTTTTTAAAGAATAATTTTTAGTTTCATTCTTTTTACTAGTTCAATACAATTATATTATTTTCTATTGACTAGCATGTAAACTGTTTTATACCTGTTTAATTTTAATTAAATTATATGCAATTTAAATTAAACACAAGTACTATTTCACTTAACAGCTTGGTATGTTCTACAAAAATCTTATATAATAATTATGTTTGTTGATTCTGAAAAAGCTAAGAATCACCGATATAGAGTATATTTTATGTTCTTTTATGCTAGCTTAGTCCTAATAGAACTTTTATCATTACCATTCTTTACTTTTTTAGATGACAACATACATTTATAGTTTTATATTTTGAAGTAGAATAACATTCTGAATATTTCAATCAGTAAAAATAAAATTACAAGTTATATGTAATTGCAATTGAGATCAGCAAGCATTGGAACATTTTGGTGGTACTTCTGACCACTCTACTCCACTTATTTTAACATTAAATACTTACAATTCATAAACTTAAAACCCAAATTTCAATTTTTATATAAATCTAGAAAATATTCTGTTTTGAAATAAAGTATTAAAAATGCATGTTCTCATAAAAGAATAATAAAATTTATTTATTTTTTGGATTTAAAACTATGTAATAATATATTTTATTTTTAATGAATATCTTATGTTAAATGGATAACTTGATATATATATATATATATATATCATATATGTATTTTTTTTTATAGTGTAATAAATTATATTATTATATATAAATGTATTATTTTCAAATAAAAAACACTATTTTATTTACATGAAAATAAAATAATTTTCACCATCCAGTAAATTAGTTAAGTAACAATAAATACATAAAGTTATGTATCATTTGAATATTTTATAACATTACAACAATTATGTATAATAGCTGGTTTAAATAAAATTGATTAATTATTTAAAGTATTATTTAAGTTCAATATTATAATCTCAATTTATAACTATTAATGTTTTTAAAAATTAACATGTTTGCAAATTTCCATATGATATTTTAATAAAATCATCAGAAGTTTAAGTTACAATTTAATAATTAATAAACATCAGATTTACACAGCAGTGTTTAAGAATTGAACTATAAAGATATAAATTTTAAATAATAATACTTAGTGAATTAATATTAATATAAGCATAATACATTCAAAATTTAATATTAAACTAATAACACATGATATATTGTTTTTAGTATTAAATATTGTTGTTCACTGGTATCAAATGTACAGCAGACTTCCCTAATTTTCGACCATCTGAAAAACAGATTAACATTATTTATATTATATTAATAAAATAGTGAATGTTGAAACATACAACTCTTTGAAATAATTGAATAACATCTTTGAGTGATTGATTTTGGTGACTGTTTTTTTGAAAGACCTAGTAAAATACCTCTGAATTCATAGTCAAGTTATGTTTATTAAAATTAATGAGTAACAAGTAACATGCATATTACACTAGTCAATTTTTAGTTTAGTTTGCAAAACATGCAAACAATTTAAAAAACATTGAAATATATAATTTATATTAGCGTAAGTATATAATTGTAAGCATGTATCAATATTGTATTTCACTATTAACCTTCTACTTATAATATTGAGTAATAAGACATAACTTTTAACTGTTATGCAGATGTAGGTTATGACTTATTAATATTATATGATATCAATTAACGTCCGTGATTTCTTTCTCACTTTTACAAACTGAAGACTGTCATTTATACAAAATTAAACTGTAAAAATTAATTTAAAACAATATTATGTCATACCTATGCAATTGTTATAAATAAATATTATGTTAATGTTTATTCATCTGAACTTGTTTGAAGTATGAATAAAATTTAAATTCAATTAATTCATTTAATGTAATAAATTAGAAAATACATTATCTCCATACATAGATTAGTAAAAAAAAAATTACTTAAGGAGTGTTGATAGTCTTTTTAATGCCACAAATCCTGAATAATTGATAAAAAAAAAGCTTAATGCAACTATTTTAAATATGCCATTAGCATACAAAACTCTACACAATACGAATTATTAAAATTTACAAGTATACCGCCAAACAAACAATAGAAATAGAATAACAATTATTCTTACAAAAGCAACTCAAAACCGTAGCCAACAAACCGTTGACGAAACTCGGACGCGTTATATGAAAATCACGGACACAATTGTACACAGCTTTCCATTTGTAAGTTATATTTATATTGTAGTTATATTAAAGTATTAACTACAAAATAAAATTGAATTATTTGTCCAAAGTAAATATATAAATCCTAAGTCTATTAAACCTAAATGTAACAATTAGTGTTTTTATAAAAGTAAAATATTTAAAAAATAGTATTTATATATTTACTATGTATTTTTTTTTTTTTAATATAGTAGTAGATGGTCAATTTATGTTTTAATTATTGTAAGTCAATATTTTATTTTTATTCTAGCAAATTAGTTTTTAATTATCCATAGAGGTGTCAAATTCTTATATTTACATAAATTAATTAAAACTTCTATCAAAGGATACAAATTCATCACATCATGAGGATTGCGTATATCTAGTTTATTAGCTGCTCCACTTGTAATTATTAAGTTCTAAAACAGATGTAAAAATTAAATTACATGAATTTAAATAAAAATATTTATTTTACTTTACTTTTGATTTCCCTTTAATATAAAGTAGATGAGCTAAAGTAAAAGTATCTTGACGTGTATTAGAAGTAAATAACATTGGACCATAAGATATTTCAAAATAAATGTTCTTTTCAACTGCAATTGTATAGTCCTTAGGAGTAATAGATGTTTTTAAATTGCAAGTTATTATGTCAATTGATGGAGAAGTCACTATGTCCTAAATAATTTAAACAAATTATAATTAAAAATATAATATAATAATAAAATTATAAGCAAATATGATAAGTACAAGTGCAACATTGAAATAAATGTTTATAGTTTTTCCTAACACAATCGACTTTGAAATCGTTTGCGATCAACTGTTTGGCTGCCTCAGATATACAATATATAATTTGAAAAACTTATCATTCTGTCGGCTGTCAGGTTACAAACAGTAACTTTGAAGGATAAATTAAATATTATTATATACAATTTCATCTATTTATTTAAAAATCAAATAAAGGATGTTTTATTAAAAATACTGAAGTAAATCTCATTATTACTTTATTAGAAACAATAAATTGTTTAGAACAAAAAATTACGTGTATAGAATATAAAATCTGACACAATATGTTCACCTTGGTTATACTGGCAAGCTTCATTTCTGGTCTTACAATTATCCATCTTACGCTGACACATATATCTCTTTATCTAGTTCACTAATAATATGATAAATTTGTTCTCAAGGTTCTTCAATGGGTTTTGATTTGTTTTTGTAAACATAAGCTTTGATGCAACTTCAAAGAAATCTAATAGAAATATGTTACATGACTTGGAAGGGCAATTCTAGTCATCACTTATTGTATGTAAAAAGTCAGTTCTAAAAATCAAACTTATAGTGCTGCAGCCAAGGTGGAAATATGTTAAATATTATATTTTATACATTAATTGGAGAATGTATACTTCATGTTCATATTATACAATTTTTTTTAATAAAGTAATAACAAGAATAAATTTGGCATTCTTCATGAAACACCCTTTACTTATTAATAAATAATATAAACATCAAATAATTCTTCAGAAACTGGTCTAATAAGCATTTATTAATTGTAATTCATACCGGAAAAACTTTATCATCTAATGGTTCTACTGCAAGAATATTATACAACTTGAAATTTTGAGAATTCAACTAAAAAACAAAAATAGTACAATTAATTTTAAGTATATATATTATTTTATTTTGTTACTTACAATTTTTTGCAGTTGCCCAATATTGGATATTTGTATTGTTAATCGGTTTAGAATGGTCAATTTGGAATTATTATTCTGAAAAAATGTATTCAATTTAGTCTGAATCATAAATTTTAATATTTATTTAATACCCAACTGAGGTATGGGGAGCCTATTGTAACATAAATAATTAAAAGAAGTTTTTGTTTATTAAAATTCAAAAGATTAATTAAATATATTCAAATCATGTTTATAATTTATTCAATGAAGAAAAAATCTATTGAAATACCAAAGTTATGTGGCACATTGGGGCGACTGATATTATATTTAAATTGAAAGTTTAACTTATCCATGTTCTTATCATACTATAATACACAATCAAACTATAAAAATATACTGTACTTAAATAGTATAAAAGTACAGTACTTTCCCGTTATTGCAATTGCTGACAGTATAATTTGTATAATTTCAACTACCTAATTTATACTGTGGACTACTTATTATAAATATAATTATAGTATTACTGTATAAAAATACTGATTTAATAAATAATGCTAATAAATAAAACGATCAACAGCTCAGATTATTTATATATAATTTTTAATTATATGACATGTGGTTACATATTTATACACTTAAAGTTTCAGCAATAACTCATTAATTTCACTCATCTTGTTACAAGCAGCAAATATATGGTAAAAGCGAAACAAGATAATACCAACTTTGTTAATTATATCATGTTGAATTCAGATAATTTAACAAAAATATATAATACATTATAAGAATCTAGTACTAATTTTTCAAAATTTTTTTACCTTAAGAAAAAAACTTATAACAACTCGAATTGTACTTCAATTTTTTATTTTATTTTTAATAATGGTAAAAACAATTTTTAAGGAAAACTGTCTTTTCTTAAAAGCATATTACAAAGTTTGAGATTAAAAACTGAAAAACAGAGTTTAATGAATGAGAGTTGTATAATACTTTTTATTCCTATTAATTAAAAAAAAATTAGATTTGGTTGATTCTACAACACAAAATTATTAATCCCATTAAGTGTATTTTTGAAGACAACATTACGTTAAAACCAGGTATTTTAATAGAAATTTTACATAATTTGTATAGTTTAAATATAATAAATCACCATACTCACACTTATTAACTTGGGTGTAGGTACCCAGTCTTTTTCTTCATCATTTTCTTCATAAGATTCTGCAAATTTTCTTTTTTTTTTGTTTAAACTTCCATTGCTTAATAATGAACAATTCAATGTAGTGTTTACAGCAATCAAAGAATACCCATCTGAGAATAAATATTACATAAATTTAAAAAACAATCATATACTACACTAATAATAACATATTTGTTATTATTAGACTACTAATAAAATATTAAATTATGGTTAGAATATAACAAATTTACACAGACAGAGATTAACATAATGTAATTAAAAATGTTTTAATTTATTGGCATTTGGCGGTATATATTTAAGTAATTATAATGCTAAACTATCATAAAGCTAGATTATAGTGGTAGATATTTATCCAGTAGAATTAAAGATAGAATTTCAATGAAATAAGTAGATAAAAAGAATAAGACAACAAACAAAACCAGATTTGTCATCTTACTTACTTTGTAGAATGAAAAAATAACTAATTGACCATTATTGTTATAATTATGTTAAAGTAATTAAATTGACTATTAATCAACTCATGTACAACATATAAATACTTTTTTTTAAAGGTACTACAAAAATAAATAAATAGTTATCAATATTTAAGTCATGTGAATAATGAACATATCTATACAAATTATGTATTATATTATTATATTTTATATAGACTAAGATAAACTAAGATAAATTATTTGAAAATAAATAAAATGCCATTGATAAAATTACAATCTTTAGATTTCCTCTTCTATATGCATGTATACATTTTTTTTCAATACATTTAACAAACTGGTCCAAATTAATAAGTTAATACTTATAGTTTATCAAACATTTTAATTATTATTATAAAAAATTAAAGAAAAGGATATTGCATTAACATTTCCAAAACAGTTCATACACACTTAATTTGAACAGTTTAACTGCAAAACTAAGAAAGCACACACTTGACCAGTGTATGAAAGAAGCAACTATAAGAACAACTGTAATGCTGACATTATCTTATAGATATACTATTGAAGAAATAAAACAAAAACGTTTCAAAAATTATAATTCATGACGACAAAACTAACAGACGTGTTCACACTTGAGATTGTACCTATACTTCTGCTCTGGTCGAATAAATAAAAACATTGTTATACTCACGTTTAACAAATACATCGATAACATCGCTGTTGACACTCTCGACGCGCAAGTCACAGTATCCACAGGGGGTTTTCATTATTTTTCCCGTGACATTAAACACCGTGGTTGAACGATAAAAAAAAATAATATTACTAACGGAAGTCTATAGTAACGTTTAAACAAAATGACTACATACTAATCGAACACATTTTTCAACGTCGGTTTGCATTCAAAACGTTATCACTTATCACGTTATCATTTATTTGTTTTTATCGTACACGTAAATGTTGATATCGATGTTACATTGTATACGCTCTAAAAAACTATATTACATAGTCTACGCAAACGTCGCAAACGAGTGATGAAAACATTAATCGAGAAACCGTTACCGTAAGATGATGCATACTATTTCCACAACATAATTATTTAAAACGTTTGTAGTTTTTTTATTAAGCTTATGAACGGCGGCATAGTAAAGAAAATTCGTTGGCCAACATAACCGATGTCATTGTTGACCACATCATTATAATGTCTCTTATTATACCATAAATTTTGTACGAGATGCGAGTTTCTTTATCGCTCAGAAGTTTTATGCGAGTGAGAGCCATCGTTTCTCTCTCTTATGTTGGCCATAAAGCGTATGTTTTGTGGTGATAGGAATACCGTATCCATATTATGTTTTATCAGTTGTTTGTAGTTTTATTCTCGTAAAATAAATACGATAGCTTGACGATTAAGCAATAGATAATAATATTATGTATCATTTTACATTTCTATAGATTTTTCCATCAACGCTGAACCGCTGACCGCGCCGCACGAAAACGTCCGGTTAATTGTTCATCTATTATCCACTACAAAAGGTTACTATAATTTTATGACTGCGCATCACAATTTTTATTATCGTCTTACATGATTTATGCACAATAACGTTTCCGCTTTGTGGTCATTGATGGTCGAACGCGTTCAAAAGATCCTGTAATATAGTAATATTTTGTTGACAATAGTCCACAACAATCGACTAAAAGTACAATGGTAAGAAAGCTGTTAATTTTTGTCATGGTGTGTGCTCTGAAGTTAAGTTGAACTAATTAAAATATATTTTAGTTTTCCCTGAGTTTGTTCAATGACATACTTCGACCGTTCAACACAACATACAGATGCTGGTCAGTATCAATGTTACCTGGCAGTGAACGAGAAGATGTTGAACGTGGTGGAAAAAGTAAGACACTTCATGTCATTTTTGTATATTTCGTTAGGTACCTACCTACTTATCGGTTATCGCAAAAATTCAAATTATAAACTTTTAATTAACTTAAAGAAGAAAATGTTCAGCCATGCAACTATTTATTCTGATTATTGGCATGGTTGTAAGATAGGTGAACTACAGAATGCTGGTTTTAAACTAATCGTTAACCATACTTTCAATTTTGTTGATTCTCAAATTGATGCTCGTACACAAAATGATAAAAGGTTGTGGGGATTCTTTGAATGACATAACGAAAAATATAGAAGTACATCTCGTTGACATCTAGACAGTTATTTATTTGAAATCATGTGACGTTAAAGCACAATAATTCATTTATAGACATTTTAAATTGCTTAACTGAACATTTTCTTTCTCATGTTAATTATTAATATTGAATTTTGAATTTTACTCCTAGTTTTTACAATAGTTTTAATAATTTTTAATTCATTTTTTAAAATTATACCATGTTTATAAAGGTATTTATGACAACCAATAAGTACTTTTTATTATATTATTTTTTTAATACAATGGTTTCAGTTATAATGCCCCCGTCTGCTCTGGATATATTGACTCGGTTGAATATCAACTACCCGATGTTGTTCAAGTTAACTAATAAAAGAAGCAACAGACAGACTCATTGTGGTGTATTGGAGTTCATTGCAGATGAAGAAAAAATTTATATTCCTTATTGGGTATTAATTATATATCTCACATAATATTAGATAAATATCTAGTTGAAATTCCTTACTGTTGTTTTTTGATAAATTCATATTAAAACTTCACACAATGATAAAATCATAAATCCATAACTATTTCAGTGAGAAAATTAAATTATTTTCATTAGTTTTAATTTTTTAAAACTAAATAATGACTTATCATCTATATTACATTTGATTAATTCATAATTAATCTGTTATTTTATGTTTAATTAAATTAATTGTTAACTATAACCTTATTATATTCAAAATATTAATTGAGTAGTAAAAAATGAAATATTTTTTTCAAAATTCTATTTGAGCATAGAATTAATTTCAAATTGAGATTATCAGTGTTTATGTTGTCTGTAAAACAAGTTTCTTATACAAGTCTCAAATTTAAAAAAATATAATAATATTCAATATGGAAACTTAACTAAATTTACTATTTTTTTAATTATTTTAACTTTTGTGTGTAATTTATTTAGATGATGAAAAACTTACTGCTAGATGAAGGAGATATGGTGCAAGTTGAAAGTGTTTCATTAGAAGTAGCCACGTTCTCAAAATTCCAACCTCAAAACTCTGAATTTCTGGATATTACTAATCCAAAGGCTGTCTTAGAAAATTGTTTGCGAAATTTTGCTTGTCTAACTACTGGCGATGTAATAGCCATAAAATACAACCAAAAAATTTATGAAATGTGTGTGTTAGAAACCAAACCAGGAAACGCAGTTAGTATCATTGAATGTGATATGAATGTTGAGTTTGCTGCACCAGTTGGTTATCAAGAACCTAAACATGAAAAAAAACCTACTGCTGAAGAGATGATGGTTGATCCTGCTGATTTAATGCCAGAACCAACAGGTTTCATAGCGTTTAAAGGTTCAGGCAATCGATTAGATGGTAAAAAAAAGAAAGAAAATCCTGATGATCAATTGAATCAAGCTAAAGCAGCATACCAAAGAGGTATTCCAGATTATAATTATTCCATCGGAACTGTGCAGTTTTTAAGAAATATTCGCCATGTGACTAATGACAATGAGGTAATTAATAAATTTAAATTTATTTATACTAATGCCCTATAATCTATTTTACATGAGCATTTCACTACACATTTACAACATAAATACATAATTGACATGTTTCTGACATTACTACCATCAACTACAATTGATCCAAAGGCAAATATGTTGATCATAAATCAATCAATTGATTAAACAAATAAAAATATTTTTTGTGGATAGTTTTTATCAACAAAAAAAACTATAAGATTTTCTTATTATTTAATAATTAAATTTTATAATACAAGTTATATTAATGACTTAATATTTTATATTTCAGAATGAAAATCAAGAAGGATTCAAACCATTTGCAGGTTCTGGATCAGTACTAAAAACCAAAAAGAAAAAAAAATAAAATAATTGTTTTTTTAAGCATATACATTTTTTTAAATAATTCTCTATTTAATATTGTAAAATAGTCTTAACATAATGATTATTTTATAGTTAAAAATAAGTATTTTTTAAATTTATTAAATATTCAATGATGGCAAATGCTTATGATAAATTTAATTCTCATATTAATTTCTATGATATTTACAATAATTATTATTATTATATTTTATTCATTTATATTGTCAACAAATTGCTATATAATAGGCGAAGAATAACTAAAGATAGATATTTTGTTAAAAAAATCATGCTTAATACTAAATCAATGCACAAAACAATTATTTTTAATATTTAGTTAATCCACCAAAATTGTAGAAAAACAACAATATAAATAATCAACAAACCATAATAAAGGTCACATTCTATAATATGATCTCTAAAATCCAAAAATAGAAACAACTCATCAAATAACATTTGAAAAAAATTAAAACATTAAAAACTTAAATAAATACTATTTATAAGTTTTCATTTAGTAAAATAATATTGGATCATAGCTGTACCTTAATTATAGTCATGCAGTTTGTGGATACTACATCACTAGAACCTGGAACTTAATGAATTTTTATTATTTATACGAGGCTTATCTTTACAGAAATATGACTTATGTTGTGTAAAATTCTATGAAACCATTTTTATTTTGAATTTTTTGCATTGTCCCGTAATTTTTGATTTAACAGTAATTTTGAACTGATTTTGATTCCTTTTTTTTTTTGCATTTTTTAGACTTTTCTTTAATATTATTTTAACAAAACTGAATATTTAAAAAAACTAATATATTGTACAACCAATTTCTTTTTTGTAATTATTTTAAATTACTGACATTATTTCTTATCTTAATTTTAAATTTAATTCAAACACTATTTTTAGTCTGCAAAAAAAACTTATTTAATGTTTAAAAATATTAGCTTTGTTTAAATTTAGATGAATAAAACAATGAATGAATGACTAAAAAATATTAATTTAAAAACATTGATTTTTTGGTATGTTCAAAGTAATTTTTTAAATCATTTTTTTTTAATTTATTAGTCATTTTAATACTTTTTGTGTTCATTTTTTTAAAGATGTTTAGGTCATCAAGTTCTAAATCCTATGTATCACATTTAAAATAAATTAAATAATAAATAACTATGAGAATAATTATAATTGAACTAAAATACTTATGACTATAATATAGTTGATTTTATATGATTTTTCTGTTATCATGTTATAGTAAATTCTTATTATATTTTACTATTAATATCATAAACTAAATTTGCATAATTTATTATTAAAATATACATGACAATGCTTTAATATCAAATACTATCTTATATCAATAATAATTCATTACATGATGATTAGATTTAAGAAAACTAAAATCTATCATTAAACATGTATATTATAAATTAAACTATTTACTATAAAATAATTATTGTAGATAAATGTAATGAAAATTTATCACCAGGCCATCATCTATAATAATTTACCTAAAAACCTATGTAGTACAACAATGTTTTGTTATGACTCAAGATAAAATTATTGTCCATGTAAATTCAATATTTTTGTTTGATTTATTAGCTTAGTAGTAGTTTATTTTTTTAAATGATATTTTCATGTATAAATATTTAATTGAAAAAATTAGATATTAATAAAATTATAAGCATTAGATTAATGTTATTAATTTTAGATGGAAGATTTAAAAAAAAAAAACAGGTAAAAGAATGTGTAAAATACTTTATCATAATCATAAATAACGATCTCGTATGTTGCAAGTGTTATTTACAGAATTTGTCAGTTTTAAATTCATAGAGTAAGGTAATTGGATAACATAATTTTATTTGAATAAAAATGTGTTTAAAACATTTTTAATTATAATTATTTAGATAAAAGATTAGAGATATTATTATTGGTAATTATAAAAATATTAACAATAGTTAGCTAAGTTTTTAAAATCGCCAACCTTTAAATTTAAATTATACAAGAATATGCAATAAGTAGTACAAAAAGTAAATGAGTGATAATGGATATAAAATGATACAGTGAAAAAAAAAGACTATTGAATAAGAGTTTTATATTACAAACTTTAGGACATGGGTGGTATCTTAGAAAAAAATAAAAATATACATACAACTGTGATGTACGTTGTGAAGACATTTAGGCTATTTGCGTTTCAGGCATCTGACTGAGTTGTTCGGAAGTGCATTAGAATAAAGTTGAGCAACGAACAATGCATTAATAAAACAAATAAGAATATCAAAAAAAGTATATTAAAAATTATAATCATACAATAGGTAATTACTACAAAATTAAATAGAAGTAAATATTAAAAAAAGAAAAAAATTAAAATGAATTATCATTATAAATATTAATATACTTCTTTCAATATTTAAAAAAAATTTTCAAAAACCCTTTTTTTCAAACATATCGGATAATAGGATTATCCTTGCGGGTACTACAAATTAGATAAGAATCAAATAAGTTAATTACAAAGAAACATAATTTATTGTCCACAAATAAAATATTTAATTTAATAAACAATAAAATAATATTTAATATATACTTAAAGATAGAATAACTAAGTAATCAAAGATGAAATATTACTACTATGGATTGTAAAAATTGACTATTTAATACAATAATAACATATTCAATATTCATTTATTGTAAGATACATTCAAAAATACAAATAACCATATTATATAACTAAGGATTTGATATTTTTAACTATTAACACAACAATTAAAATAAATTATATATAATACATTACGTATGAATTATGTTTGCTAATTATTTAAAAAAATATACAACTGGAAATTACTTAAATTGTTTGCATTTGAATGATTGTAATTGATGATATTTGAATAACAATTAATGTACACTCTTATTAAAATAATTATTTGGATAAAATACCACCCAATCATGTATTTCCAATAAGTTTGCTCTTTGAGAATGTAAAGTGTTTATTCCAACAGTGTGTTATAGTTAAAATATTATAAAAACCCATAGTAAATTTTAAATATGTTATGATTTTAATTTCTAAAAAACAAAAAAAAATAGATTAGAATAAATGTCTTAAGCCTTAACTCAATAAAATGTATGTCCTGCTTTATGCTTAAATCATTACTAGAATAATAAGTTGTGTTTATAAAGCAATTGTAATCAATGGGATATTAAGTCTAATTAGCAAAGGCCATACATATAGAATGACTTTAAACACTTCAATTGAGTAGGTATTATTTTTATTAAACAATCTATAATATTCTCGTTTTTACATTGCATATTTGGTAAAATTTTAAGTCAATATAATTTAAAAATCATAAAATTAGGAATGAAACTTTTATTCATACAAAAGTATGCTCATTTTAAAATATGCAAAACTTTAAATAAATATGTGGACTTCTTCAAGTCAAGAGAAATTTTGAAGTTATGATTTCACACATAAACAAAAAAATATTTATGTATCAATCATCATTTTTTTAAATCAGTGTTAATTAACTATCAGATTTAATAAAACCTCAAAAAATTTCTAAAAAAAATGAACCTAGTGAGAATCCAGATTTCAATGTTCTTGTTTTTAAGATAAAATAATAAATAGAATAATATAATGATTTACAAAACTTTTAAGTTACAAATAAATTTCTATAGGGTTATCTGTTTTATCCATAAACCTTACTTATTTGAACTACCTAATTGTTTAGAATATCTATTTTATATTTAATTTTATGTATACCAGTATACCTATAGCATACTAGAGAATTTTATAAATCTTAGTTATCATTAGGAATGTAAATGTAACACCTATTGTTGATTAATATTTAAACGGTTAAAAGGGTAAAGTATTTACAGAAAGTTATTTTTACAAAAAAAATCATTTGACAAAAATGAATTGAACCTACGCACAACAATGTGATATGTAAATCCCAGTTAGGAGTGAGTTATATTTAAAATATTGTAAAATCACCAATCACCTAACTAAATAAAATATATGTCCTGTTTAAATCATAATATATAATATTGTATAATCAACAATGCTGTTTTTAAATAACATTTATTTTGTAAAATTAGTAAATTTGAGGACTTAATCAAATCTAAAGAAATTTTTATTTTATTACTTATTATTCATTACCTAATGAAATTTTATTTATTAGATTAACAAAACCAATTTTTTTTAAATCAAACAAAATAATTTATGTTATAGATTCAAAATTAATTTAAATAAATAAACATGATCACCTTTAATACTTTTAAACATTATGAGCTATACTTATTATTTGTCAAAAGGTACAGATATTATCTTTTTTTTTTAAGTACCTAGGTAGTTCACTAAATGATCATTACATTATATTTTTTTAAATGGATTTTTGTATTTATACGCATTTTTCTATTTTCTAAATAATCATAATGATTTTTATTAATATTGAGGCTTATACTTCTCATTATTTAAATATTTTGTACTACAATGGAAATAATAAATTATACCCTTCAAGAGATTAGTAAGAGGACCTATAAGAGATAAATGCTTCTTTTAATAAGGACGTCGATAGTTTTTAAAAAACAATGTGGTGTTTCTGTATAGAGACAAACTGTACACCAATTTTGATGGAAACCAAGAAAAATTGCATGTATAGATAATTGTATTTTTAATATATTATTCAAAATGTTCAAGAACTATTTAATAATCTTTAAATAAACTATGAACTTCTATTTAATTTTTTTTATGCATTACACAAAACTATCAAACAAGTAAAAATATTAGGCGCATATTTTCGAGAATTTATTGAATTCATTAAAATTGTTGAACATAAGATTAGGGAAGAAAGTATAAGCATAGCATTTGCTAAAATAAGCTTTTACAAGAATGTTGTTAAAAGATCTAAAATATACTAAAATTATAAAATTTGTGAAATTTCAATGAAGAAATAAGTATAATAATGAAGGTATTGAAGTTTTGTCATCTGAAGACATTAAATATGCGCTTGTAGTGACTTGCAACGCAAAAAAAAAGATTTTTCCATGTATAAATTTATGATATAAACAATTATAGAAATTTCTATTTCAAAAATCTTAAATCATATTTTGTAATTTCGTGGAGATATTCAATAATGTAATATTAATTAAAAATTAATTTTACACTTTCTGATGTTGGTTACATTCTTATATAAATATAATTATTAAGAGAATGCCACACACCATATTATGTTTTACCAAGATCTTATATAGGTATGTATAATATAAAAGAATTGTGTTTAGTAAAACCACTAGAACCCATAGGGTCATAGTGTTGTTAGTTTTTTTTATTTCTAATTTATTTATTATCAAAGTTAACAATTAGAATATTAGTGATACATTTTTTTGATATTTTAATTTGCAATCTAGATTAAAACATTTTTAATTTATAATAGGTATTTTGCATTTAGTTACTTTCTTAAATAATTAAAATAAAATATTAAAAGTGTTTTTACAGTATGGATTTCAAGCATATTATCTAAGGTTTTTCATGTATTTTAAATAAATAAATATTTTTTTATAAAAAGAAGAATTCGGAGATCTATTAAAAAACATGACTTCTGAAATAGTTTAGTTAAAATTTTAAGTTATAAATAAATCTGTTGCTTTTGAAACAAATTTAAGTTATTTACAATATAGATTTTACTTTTGGGAATAGACAAGGTTAACAATTGCTATAACTGTCAAGTTTGAGAGACTCATATATATCAGTAAAAAACTACCTTGTCAGTAGCCATTATATTAAAAGATTCACTCATTATTCTTTACAAAAAACAACTTTTAGTCGTGCGATAAAGTTATAAGTTAATTATAACATTTACCTAAGATTTGTTATTAGAAAGTTAACTTTCAATATTCAGCTTTAACAAATTACTGATGTTAGATATAAACATACAAACAATTTGATTTGTTTAGACTTTAGTTGAAGTATATGATTTATATTTTAAATTAAGAAGACTATAATACATGAAGGTTATTATAATAAAATTAATAAAATTTATAATTTTAACAACTTTTTCAATATTGGATATGTCATATTATGTTGACAGTAATCTTTTGAGTACAGATAATGATAAATAAAATTGTTAAGTGCTTATAACTAATCAATAATAAATAATTTTTTTATTACTTATTATCATTATCACATTTTAAAATATTTGAATTAACTTTAATGTAATATTTGATGATCCTAAATCAAATCATAGTTCAATAACTTTAAAAATATTAACTATTCTATAATAAATAATAAGTTAGAAAATATTAATTGGTCAGATTTATATTTTAATTAACGATATAAAACATGTAGTTAAAATAATTTGCATACATTTACTTAATATAATAAATAGTATAACAAAGAAAGTGTTTAATAACCAAATTAAATTTCCAACTTAATTTTCAAGTGAATGTTAGCATTCAATGCTAGCGTTTGTTAATCATTGAAGAAAAAATTACATATAGGATTTAAGATTAAGATAAAGAACAAATTTTATGTTGAATTTTCATCATTAAGAGGATGTTAGCATTATCAGCACACTGTTTGTTTTCTCTCTGGCCCACGTGTAATATAAACAAAACGCATTTACCTAGAATATTTTTTTTTTTTGTTATTAAATTTTTTTTGTCATAAAAAAAATTATAGATAATAATATTTCTGAGGGTATGAAATAAAAATTTGTCTAAATATTATCTCGAAATAATTTTAAACATCATTTAAATTAATAATTTTTTTTTTTTATTATTTTGAAAATTGAATACTAAGTTGAATAATAATAAAATATGAAACCGATTTTATGTTAAACTCTCCAAAATATTATACTCTATAATTTTTGTAATAGGTATGTGTTTTTATTCCAAGATCACTCAAAAACATCAAAAAAATGATTCTACGTAAATGCGGTTTGCTTATGTTACGCGTGGGCGTGGCACAGAAAGAAAAAACTAACAATGCGCCGACATCCTTTTAAGAAGTTGTGTTTGGAATTATCCAAAATATGTTATTCCTTATAATTTGTCGTTTAAACCAAAACTAGGTCCAGACCAAAGTCTTCAAATTATTTTTCGTAATTGAATATTGATGATAATATACCTTAGCCCGTCTAATTCATTATTTATTATTAAATTAACTACAGGATAACATTTAATGATTACACAATCATTAAACCTTCCAAGGCTTTTAAAAAATTTACAGGCTATTCTTTATGTAGTCCAACCGTAATGTAAAATATCATTAGTTAATAATAAATAATCAGTAACATATTATTGTTATCCCAGACTATTATTACTATCACAATCCGATAGGAATGCTTTAACTCAATTGCACGACAAATATACAATATTTAGTATTTGTTATTATTGAATTAATATTCAATTTATTACTCAAAGCTAGATCGTAGTACATTACTAGCATCGCTAAAAACACTAGTAGCCTTGAGACTTTTGAATATAATTAATTTTATAATTATATTTTTTAAATTTTCAAATATAATTCAAACTCGTGATTGGAACCCATAGATTAATTTACTCATTATTCCATGATTTAAATAGCGTTCTGTATTATCAATTATCTTTTATAGTACTTGATGATGATAATTGATAGTACGTTATTTCATGTATGACGTGTGTTGATGACGTTGATGTGTTAGTGTTGAATGTTCATTTGTTCATCATTTGGTATTTAGTGTACACTATTTTTTCATTCGTTTACTTTCGGCATTTGTTGTCATACTCTCGTTAAAAGTTTAAACGACTTACTAAACGCGATGGCTGGCAGATCGGAAGGACGTTATTCAAATGGTAGGTTTCACAGCATCTATTCATGTGAATATATTGTACTAGTAGACATTTATATTTTGGGACTTGGTTGGACTGAAGTGCTCTAAAAACTACGACCTAATAAGACTTTGGCCAATTTAATTTACGTTATTTACCACCAGCGTACATACTATTTTCATAAAAACACAATATTTAAATAAACCATTCGACATTCTTTAGATAGGTACTTACACATTCTACCGTATTTATCAATTTTGAAATCTTCAAGTTCCAGAAATTTCTAAATGAATTTTATAAACATGTGATAGGATTTTCTTTGTTTCTATTAAAAAATAATTATTGGTAGAGACTATATTTCAAATATCACAATTTTTTGTATTTTGCATATTATTTCAATTTTTTTTTATTGCGTTCATGTTTCTTATCGATTAGAAGTATTAGAATGGAAACATCAGCATGGATTTTTACTCGACCGACATTAATTTATCTGAATTTATTAAACTTAACAGGTCTTTATAGTTACTGTGTGATTTATAATTTATGTAGCTGTGACTTTGTCACATAATAATACTCTCTTGATATTTTTTTTATTATCTTATATTGGTAAAAATATATTAATTTTGTGTAAATTTAATTTCAATTGTATAAACAATATATTGGATATAATTTTAACCCAGCAATGGCCATTTGATGATTTTCTAATTTCTTAAAAATAGATTGTTTTAGGAGGTACCCATTATTTTAGAAATATAATCCCTTATAAATAGAAAATATTTCAAGTTTATCTCATTTTATTAAATATTTATTATATTAAAATGATTGATAATAGTAAATAATACATAAAACTATAATTAGTAAATCGATGTGTAGCATAATTATCAATATGTAGTAGGTAGGTACTCTTTGAAAATAAATTTTGTACAAAACTAATGATATTAAGTACTAAATTGGTGTATAATTTCTATGGTAGAATTTTAAAAATATAAAATAGAACTACCTAATTATTAATATTTTATATTTCAAACCATTAATTTATTAAATTTATTATGCAGAAACATTGAAATTGTTTCTTTGAAAAAAATACTGTGCACGTCTGGTTGGAGAAATTTTTACTACAATTAATGTAAAAATAGCTGTTATAATTTAAGCAATTTATCTAAGAAATTTAACTTGTCAATGGACAAATCAAAAATGTTCTAATTCATAAAAAATATGAACTAATAAGTAAATGTTCAAATTAATTTGTATGCAGTTTCATAAAAAACATATTAGTCTGATCATGTTCTTACTCATCATTATATTTCTAAATTTTAGACAATGAAGGGAATAATGATAATGATGAAGAGATGACATGCGAAGCAAACAATAGCGAAGGTCAATTTCATACAAATTGGGATTGTACAATTGATGACTTGGTTGATGATCAATTGCTTAGTGAATTTTCTAATCAAAATGGACCATCAAGAAATAATCTTGGTCAACAGTAAATATTTTTATATTTGTTAGTTGTTACAATCCCTAAAACCAAATAATATACCCATGAATGTGGAATTCAATAGGTCATATTCCAAAAGAAGTCATAGCCCTGATAATGATGATGGTTTAAAAGGTTTTTCTTCATGGTCTTTAAAAAAAGAAAGTTGTACTGGATGGTACTCAGTAGAAGTAAGTTTCAATTTTTAATTTATGAATTATACATGTTTAAATTATTATTATTTTTATTTTTAAGGTACCAAATATTAAGAATAGTGGCAAAATCCTAAAATTGATACAAACTTATATCGCACCTGTTGAATTTTATCCATATAATGTATGCTATTTATATGCTAATTATATACTTACAGAATACATTAAAATGATTAATAATTATTTTACAGAAAAAACATTTTAATAATTCATTAGGATTTTTGGTTGATGATTATGGGGTTGCTAAGGTATTGGACAACGCTAACTTTAAGATAACACAAAAAAATAGTCGAAAAGTAAGTTAAAATGATTCAGTTATAGAGTTTTAAATATGGATTTTAACAAAAATATTTGTTTTTTAGTTAGTAATAAACGTGTCATTATATTTACCTCCACGTAGTCTTACATCATTATCAACAGTATCCAGTGAATTAAAGGAGAAAATTATAGAAGCTATAGCAACCCGTTACAATTCTAGTACCAAGAGTTTAGATTTGTCGCATTTTCATGCTTGTCCATGTACATTATAAGATTAATTTGTATTAATTTAATTACAGATTTAAAAGAAATAAATATTAATATATATTTTTTTTATTATAGTATTTACCAATAATCAACTATTTGCACCATTAAATCGACCAACAATTTTTTTGGCGGTTATCAACAGAGCTGCTCAATATACCAAACATGATTTGTATGGTTTAAGTCTTGAAAATAATAACATTTATTTAGGTGAAGGATTTATATGGATACGTAGATTTTTTCCTGAATTAAAAGTGTTAGATTTGGCTGAAAACAAAGTAATATGCTCTATATTTTTCATTTTTATTGAATAAATATGCTAAATAATTTTTATTACAGTTTTCTAATTTAAAAGAATTAAAATGTCTCTCTGGTTATACTATTGAAATACTGAACTTGTCAAGAAATCCTGTGTCCAGTGCCATGGACAAAGAGTGTTACAAGCGGTATATATATATTTATTTTTAATGCTTCAGTTTTAACCCCACTTATTATATATTTATACTATATCTGTTTTAGGGATTTACAACAAATTTTTCCTACGCTAACTAAGTTGGTAAGTATCTTCTGTATTATGCTATTTCATATGTATACTAAATGTTAGCAAGGAACCACAAAACTGATGTTTTTATAATACTAGTTTGACAATATTATTATTAATTTTGGTATATTGTAAGGTAAGGCGTCTAAAGTAAATACATCTTACCTGATTTGAATTTAAAATTTATAAGAGTTTGATATAGCTATGATAAAAATAAGTTTTTGTTTATTACGAAAAATGGAAAATATTACTCATTACATTATTTTAAATTAAAAAAAAAAAAAAAATACATTGACAATAATCATTTAATGGTTATGTTAAACATAAATCTTATATATATATATTCAACATATTTATGATAACATGTATTTTATATATTTGCAATAATAGTTGTATTGGAAAATAGGGAAATTTCTGATGTTTTACTTATGCATCTAATTAAACAGAATCTTTTGAACACTTATCGATTGACATTTTAGCCTGTTTGTTGAATGAAAATGTTGGCTAAAAGAATAATGATATACTCGTATATTATAAATGAATAGCATTTAGAACATATAATTCAAAGTAACTTATGCTTTTCATTTGAGTTAAAAGACATATTTAGTTTTTTTGATTTATTACCCAAACGGCAAGAGTGAGCGTAGTACTTGATAACAAGAAAAAAAAATTGATGATCAATCTTTTTTAACAATTTTAAATTCTCTTTAAATTTATTAAGCTGAGCAGATGTTTATGATGTATGGCAATGTTATTAAATTGTTTTTAGGATAACTCAGAATTACCGTCTCAGTACAGTGCAATAAGATCCAAGTTCAAAATGCCAATTAGCTTGGGTAATTGTTACCCAATACCACAAAGACATAATTCTAAACTCCCAAATCCTGTGATGACTTTAGTTGAATCTTTTCTCACTCAATATTATGAACACTATGATAATCAAGTGTCCAGACGAATGATTTCAGAAGCTTACCATGAAAATGCCATTTTTACATTATCCAGTTGTCTTCTACATGAAGAGTAGGTGTATTATATAAGAGTATTAAGAATATCTATGAAACAAAATTTTTTTTAATAATTTAGTTATTTAAATTGCATTTTATTTCAGTCTTCGCGGAAATTTATCACGGTACTTACATGAGAGTAGAAATTTTTTAAAATCTGATAGAAGCAAACAAGAAAGAGGTTTTTTACACAAAGGCAAAAAAAACATATTAAACTTTCTTAACAAGTTACCTAAATCTAAGCATGATCTTAGCTCATTCATAGTTGATGTTCCATTTGCAACTGTGAGTATATTGCTATTTAAATGATTTTTTATAATAATATAACTAAAATAGTATTGTAATATTTTAATGTTAAAATTGTTTGTTTTTTTTTTTTAGGCTACAATGATTCAGATTGTACTCAATGGTGTGTTTGCTGAAGACTTTAAAATATACGATTTCAACCCCCTATATCGATCATTCTGCAGAACATTCTGTATAGTGCCTTTTGGAAATGGTTGGAGTATAATTAGCGATATGTTCTTCATAACAATAGTTACCGATGAGTTATTATTAGTAAGATAATTTTTTTTTATTCAAATTTTAAGTATATGCTATAATATAAATATTTTGAATTTTAGGAAACTTCGAAGCGATTCAATATTTTTATACTAAACCTAGAGTCGTCAGAAAGAAATAATTCTGATTCTAACAGTAACCAAAATGTATCAATATTTTTGAAGGATACTAATAAAATGACTGGCATAAAATCATCATTATTCGGTCTACAATTACCCACACCCAGCTACTTACCACCATCTTTTAAGCAATCTACATTATCATCCTATCAGCCATCACCAATGTTTGCTCCTATAAATTCACAGCAGTCATCATCTCATCAAGGGGGCATGCAGACATTCACTATACCGATCCAAAAAATGGCACCTGTTGCTACAGTAAATTTCCAACCAAACTCACAACAGCAACCAGCTTCTTCATTTAATGTGTTTAACACAATATCATTGTCTACAGCTTTAAATATTGCCTCCTTGCCTCTAAATCAATTGTCTATGGTTAAGAGATTTTCAAATGAGTTTGGAATGAATAATGAGCAGGCTAAAAAGTAAGTCATCACATATATTTAATCTTGTTAATCACAATATTCAAAGTGTTATTTGTTAAACGTAATTTCTTCATCTGGTATTTACAATTTGATGACAATATCAGACTAGCTTTGAAAATTGTTTTTTGAGTTATTAAGCCCTGTAGTTAAGATTTTTGTGTTTTTTATGTTATTTATTAATTTATTTTGTACAGGTTTTTTAGAAGAAAATGGATGGGATTATTCTGAAGCTGCTATATGTTTTTTAGTTTCTAAAGCCAATATTCCATCTAGGGCTTTTAAATATAGTTAAATATAAATTAGTCAATAGTCATATGATTGTTTTGATTTATTTTTCAATATTATTGAAAATATTAATTAAAAAATGTTAACTTGCTATTATAGAACAATGAAAACCATTTATTTTCTTTATAATATTTTATTTAAATGGTTTTTAGGATTCTTGGTTTATGAAAACAACGATGAGGAAAACTGTGTTTAATATGATTAAAAAAAAAAAACTGTCAAAAAAATACAACATATTATTTAAAAAAATAAATTGAAAATTGTTTTTTGGACCATTAATATATTTAGTACCATATAGGCGATGAGAAATACTTTTGTGTGTGGACATATATAGAAGCCTATTATTCATTATTTGGAAACATTGTTTTTCTTATGGACCAAGAACTTTATTAAAAGAAAAAACTAAATAATGATAATCTAAATAATTGTATTTTGTAACTTATACCTCCTATCTTATATTTATCTTATTTAATTATTTTAAATTAGTAAACGTTTTTAGATTTTAAAATAAGTTTAAAATTATTGTATTGTATCCAATGTACATTTTTAATATTCTGACATTATTGGAGTATAAATGTTATGTAAGTAAGTTTTTGTTTTCTTACTTGTAATATTATCAATTATAATAAAATTAATTTTATTTAGAAATCTTTTTTTTATTACAAAATGGCTTATCATATAAAAAAAAAATATATTGGTACATAGTTATAACATTGCAATATAAAGTATTACAATATTCTTTTAAGTAAAATTTAGTAAAAGTAATGTATTTTTTTTTTTTTAAATATATAAATTATAATCATGTTTAATCTCATATTTTGTTTGTTTTATTTGAAGTTGTTCTAATATATTCTGTGTAGTTAGGCCCTGATTTACGCATGTGCAGACGGTGCATTAGCACAGAGCCCTCAAAGATGAAGGGTCCCTTTCCATTCCATTTTTTGCTACCATAAATAAAAGATATTTATTTATTAGCTATAATCTATTTAAAAAGGTCGCAGCAGAACTAGTTTTCATATGTTTTAGACTAATAAGCTATTTATCGATAGTTATATCAGTAGATAAGTTATCGGTCAGTAATAATCATAGACAAATTGGCATTTGTCCATCTCGATAGATTTATTTTACAAAACGTTAAAACAAGTTATGTGAACACAAATACATCAGATAGGTACACTAGGATTAAAATATATTTACATTTTTATTACATTACTGTAGTGAATTTAGTGACCAATTGTTCAAACTCGTTCGTTTGCTTTTTTATTCAGTATTTACCTACCTATCTACATATTTTACTATTTGTACAATTAAAATCTTAGGAATTAATAAAAAAAAAATAGTTTTGTTAAAATTTCCCAAACATACATCAATTGTAAAATTCTAACTGTTGTATAATAATAGAAGTGATAACAACAACAAGTGAAAGAACTGTTTCCACTTAAAAATGAATTAAATTATATTTGAGAATGACAATGTAAGAAAACCGTTTTTATAATAATAATAATGATCTTTATTTTCAGAAAATTTAAATAAAGTTTGTATTAATATTTACTAGTAGGTAGGTATATTTTCTGACCCAACCTCTAAGTAAACTTAATGGAATAGTGTTATTAAAGTAAAACTAAAATAAGTAACAGATTTATTGTTCAAGCAAAATTTTAAACGTTTTTGATATTTGTTAACAATTATTATTATAAAAAAAATAGTTGATACATTTTTTGTATGTATAAACATTTTTAAATTACAATGCTTTTATAGAAATAATATACATGTATATTTACTAATATTTTAAACTTAAATAATTATTGTACTTTATAAATTATAATTAATAATAAAAAATTACGTTGTAATTGTTGCACTAATAACTGATAAGAGTATACTTTGTATCATATAATCATAAAAAAAATTATAATTTAATTTCTTAAGTTAGAAATTAATACAGGTAAATTGTATATTAAATCTAAAACAAACTAAATATTTTTATTTAACTATATTGTTTGCAACACAACACAAGCGTTTTTTCAACTTAATAGTTTCTAACACTAGGTAATGAAACTTTTTTAGTTTTTATCTTGAAAAAATATCTTCTAAGTACAAATGTTTTGAATAACAGACTCTAAAACCTTAGAGTTTTTTGTAGAGACAACTAGACAACAGTTCTTATTTTGGGTAGTTAAATTACTTAATATAATTTAGAATATGAATATTATTTTTCTTGATTAACAAGTTAAAATTAATATTATATGAATATGATGTACCATAAACAAAAAAATGTGGGATAAATCTACTTTAATAGACTTTTTGTGTTGAATTTAATATTTTGTATAAATATTTATTACCTACAATAACTATACTGTTGTAAATTGAAATAATAATTAATATTGTTTCGTTAAATACTTATTGTAGTAAACTATCTTGTGATCAATTTTTGTGACATGAATTATTTATGATAAAATAATGAGGAACACATCATAATCTACTTCTTATTGGTATTATAGAACTTACATCTTTTATTTGACATTGTTAATACCGATACAGTAATATTTAATACATCAGTTTATTAAACAATAATAATAATAAACACATCATACATCAATACGTGTAGAGGTAATATTATATTAAATATTATACTAAATTTTCATTTATTGCTTAAATTAATGGCAGGGGTATAGATCTCCTTAATTTTTTATGAAAGGAACTATTTAATCATTTATCAAATGAGATTATATTATCTCTACATATATGAACATTCTCAGTTCTTATGACCATTTTTCAATGTGTTAAAAACAAGTAATTTTCAATACTATCTGTCCATTTGGAATTAACACGAATTTTAAATTACGATTACGAAATGTTAAGTTACAGAACAATGCATTCCAAACATACAGTAAAACTCGCTTAAGACGTTCTCGCTTAAGACGCTTTCCCGCATAATACGCTGTTTTTAGTCGGTCCCTAGACATTTCCTATACTAGTCAATGTAAAAATCACCTGTTAAGACGCTCAGTTTTTCTCTTTCTAATCGGGTAAAACGCTCTTTTTTCAGCAGATTACGATAAATTTTAGTAGTTTTGTGAAAATAAAAATAGAATTTTTAGTACTATACGTGTTCTTATCGTTTTATTTTATCGCTATACCTATTTTATCATTACTTATTATAACAGTTTTACTGTATTTCATCGTCTACTCCTACAATAACTACTGGTTTGCAACATTTATCGGGAATTCGGAAAGTATTATCCTGTGTTGAAAATTCCGAAGAAATGTTAGGTTGTCTTAATAAAATTGAAAACTTTCTTGCTGAAACACATTGTCAGAACCTTAAACAATCAAAAATAGATCATTTTTTTAATAAACAATAATAAAATATGTATGTAATAATAATATTTTTTTAAATTAAATTCAGTAGCACAAAAATATAAGTATGTATGTATATTGTAATTATAATTAATTTATAAGTGTATTTCTCATTAAATTATGTTTAATAATAAAAAATAAACTCTATATTTCAACCACATCATTTTGTTTCATTCCCGCATAAGACGCTTTCCCGCATAAGACGTTTTAGAGAGCTGGTCCCTTAAAGAGCGTCTTAAGCGAGTTTTACTGTATATAGTTTTTAACTTATGGGGTCATACAATTTAAACTACCTAGGTACACGTAACACATCTGATCTACTCACTTTGCTCTTCAAATCGAGTTAAGGCTTATTTATATGGAACAGACCGTGATTAAGAAGGCTTTCAAATAATGGGAAAAAAGTATTGATGTCGATGGAAATAGACAAATAGTACACTGACCTAATTTATAAAGGCGAATAGTGCTAGTACAGCATACGCCTAATCTGATGGAATGATGTGCTTTACTCCTTGCGGAGAACGCCAGTTTACTACAACAGTGTTCATACTGAACACTTGTATATTAAACTATTTATAAAAACTTCTTATAGTATCAAGTTTATTTTCATATGATGTTTAGTTAACAATAACTTATTGTTTAAAAAATAATGTTAAAGTTTTGTATTTTTTGTTGAAATCATTTTCTTATTAATGTAATGAGCGTAGATACATTGGTTTTATTTGTTAGGTTTAGGAAGCCAATTAGGTATCAAAAGTAAGTATTATATGATTAAAGCGATTGCTAAGTACTTATTATAAACTTATTTTCAATAATATAAAATTAATTGTATAATATAGATGGTTAATATTTGTATTTTAATTTTCTTAGTCTCAGAGTTATTAAAATTTAAAAAAATATATTTAGGAATAATTTGTTTAAGTTATGTTGTATTTTTTAATCAGTCTCCTGGTGGCAACTTTGTGGCAAGTTGCTCATACATATACATGGTTGATGTGTTTTGAAAATGATCTATATAAGAAGCAGTGACCCAATACAAATAAACTAAACTTCATCTAAATACATTTAAAATTTACATTTTTATTATCATTTGATATGTTGACAATTTTAATATATATATTATATTTCTTTAGTTAACATTATAAAAAATTGTAAATAACATATATTTGTTTTACATAGTAAAAAGAATAATCAAATTTTTTTTATAGATAATTTTATATTTCAGATTTATCAATGTGTATAAAACTATAAACTATTAGTAATTGTTGATATTTTTACTATTTTATTTACAAAAAAAAATCTTCAATAAAAAAAAAAACATAATATTCAAAAAGTATGAACCTTATATAAGCTACGCTATAGACAACAGATAGACTTAAAAAAGCAAAAAATCTGAGTGAATTAAATTTATAAAATTGTAAACAAAAATAGCTAATATATGGAATACAAAATAATATCTGTACGATAGCTATTTCTATGGATACACTGAGTAAAGCATATTCTGAAGTTTTAAAACACTCATGCAGTTATTTTATGTGGAAACTGAAATCACAATGACTGACTGATAGTTTGAAAAAAATGTACTGGACTAAGAAATAATAACAAGTGAAACTGTATTAGTCAATTTAAAAATATTGATCATAGACCCAATATATTATTACCTCTACCAATCTATGAGTAATACCTGATTCAAATCTATCTATTCATTATAGCACACCTATATAATAAAACATGACATTATCCAAGTCACAAATATACATGGTAACATAGTACAATTGATAAAAATTTTGGATATCACGTTAAAACAGTATTATATCTATATACTAATAGTAGGATTATTAAGTTGTACTATCACTTATCAAGTTATCAATAATTTAAAACAATAATATTTCCTTTAAAAGTCTTATTTAACATAGAATACCATAAGATAAAAATATAAAAACTTATAAATAATAGACAATTATTTTATCTTTAACACTGATCATTTAAAAATCTATAGATGTTTTTGAAAAACATTTTTACATATATTTTAGTTAAAATAAAATAAAACATTTTTTAAATTTATTATTCTGTAGCAAAATAAGTTTCATTGTACTTTGATACATAAAAATCAAAATTTGGACCAGTAGAAAATGAGTTATAAGTACTTAAGGTATAGGTAAGCAGAATAGTAGACAAACATTTTGCAAATTATTTTTATATCTTCTTATACCACTCACTCAAAATTTTAATATTTATAACTCATTAACTACTCGTTCAAACTTCAATTTATATGCATCCAAATACTTTAAAAAATGAAATTAAAAATGTATATTATGATTTAAATAAGCAACAACTTTAAAAATATATTTTTTTTTGACTAAAAATTATGTAAAAAAAAAAATAATTTCTAGAAACATTAATAGATTTTGAAATATAGAGTGTAGTTTGATGAAAAAACCGCCTTGTATATTCCAATAATTGTTCAATCTGATTTGGTACTTGATATATCAGGATCAAGTGCCATGGTTAAGTTTAAATCAGAACTACTATGTGGTAAATCTGATTTCATAATGTCTTCTATCATTTGAGTATTAGTGCATGACTCCATCTATTGATCACATACAAATTGAAATTTATTTTTAAAATTTATTAATGAAATGTTAATGATAAATATAAAGCTTTTTAAAAACTATTATTCATAATTACATTGTTATTTATAATAACTGGTTTATGTCCCAATGGTGGTTCTTTAACCAGCAGTAAAGGTTTATTGTCTTTATCTTTGTTTGGTGGTCTAGTAGTATTAATTGTTATGTCTTCACAATTAATATCATTTATAATGTGATCATTTTTTACTAAAGTCTAAAAATAAAAATATATTAAAAAATATATGTGAATTAATAATTTTGTAAATCCTGATGTAAATTAAAATTTTTACATACAGTTTTGCAGAGGTCTATCAACTTGGTAGCTCTCCCTAGTATATATGCAAGATTAACTATTTTCAATGTGAATAGACATATAAATATAGACAATAAAAGAATTATAGACACTAATAGTTCATCGAAATACACACATCTAATTAGAACCTTAATTATAACTACTCCAAGTGGAATTGGAATAAAGCCCATTCGTCTTGCTACTAAATCTGAGTGATCACTAACTGCCTACAAAACAAAACAATTGTTTTAAATTAATTCATCAACCAAACACGTTATTAATAATCATCAATATTTACCTTTTTATTATATGATTGTACAGCGTCATTAGCAAAGCTCAATACATAGTCACTGTATACTGATACGTTGATTTCATTAAGTCTAATGATAAATGCATGTTTCATCCAATCAATTATTATTTCCAACATCATAACATATGTGCAGTTAAGCATTAACTCGTAAAAGGATTCTATTACCATATAATAAAATACAATATTTAAAAAAAAATTGACAAAAATGGATTATCAATATAACAAAATCTAAAATGATTTTACAAACACAAGTTAAAATGAAAAAAATACATAATAATATTATTTGATTTGATTTATTTTATAAAACTAATTTAAATTGTTTAAAATCAGATTATCTGTTAAAATTGGCATTTTTCTTTTAATTTTTTTTAAGCTTAAATTAATTTTGACCATAATGAAATTAATACTAACCACTAGTCCATTGATATTCTTTAATTGTCTGCACTACAACTATTAATAATAATATGAAAAGATGAAATCGTTCACGGATATCATTACACGATAATTGGAACAAAGCTGTATTATTAAATTTTTTAAATACGTTTCCATTGAATTCTATAAACTAATTTCAATCAAAAAAGGATTTTTAAGTAGAATATTGTATTCACTATAAAATATGTAAAAAAAACATTACATTATTGGACATCATGATTGGTAGTAATGCCTTGTGTCTTGAATTAAAAGCAACATTCAATGTGGTAGCTTGGCATAATACAAGTACACTATGTAACACTAACACTATATATTAAAGAAAATGTAAAATTGATTTTGTTTTTTAGGACTTATATTCATTATACTAGATCTAGTTTAATTGTATTAAAATACTTGAGGTACTATTTAAAAGGATACAGACATATAACACAGCAATAATAAAATGTGGTAAAACACCTAAGTGTTTACGCTGGCTAGTCTTAGGTTCAGTAGCAGTCCAATACAATGAATCTAAAATATCTTGGCCAAATGAAGAAAATAATCTGTCTCCAACCTACAATTGAAAAAATATTAAATTATTTAAATAAAATGTAGTAAACGTAAAGCTAAATATTTGATGGTTACCTCTAACATGTTAAAAAATATATACAATTTAATAACTGACTGACTTTTAATTAAATGATAAATCATTGATGTATCCAACGGTATTAACATTATAAAACATGTTATTAGTACAGTCATCTTTAGTAAATCGCAAATTTCTGCAGCAGATAATTGTTTTTTATTATGTTTGTCCCTAATAGAAAATATGAACATTGAATTTCAAATGATTATAACAGTTTATAAAATACTTACTTAAATGTTGATAAAGAACTACAAATTAATGATTTTAATGCTAAAAATACCCGTAATGGTAGGAATGTATAAACAAATAGAAATGAATCTGCACACTAAAATTACAACAAATTAATTTTAATTATATAAAATATTATAACTTGTAAGGTACTTTGTAAGGTAATTTATGTAATATGTTATACATTATGTTTAATTTAAACAGATTGAGACTAATTGCATACCTGACAAATGCCATAGAAGATAAATCGTTCTACTTCTAAAGGTATTTTCATGAAAGTATAAACTTTTTCTCTCCTGTCTGAAAATTCTTTTTCATTATTTTCTAAAGAATAGCCACGATTAAATTCTATAAGAATAAAATCCCATAAAGTACCTAAAAAAAATTATAAATCATTTACAGGAATAATTGGGTAAATAATATTTATTTTCATTTGAGTATAACATAAACATTTAAATCGAAGTGATTTATTATAACTAATACATTCTAAATGTCAAAGAGTTCTAAGTTTTACTCTTAAAATTAATATTTAGGTACCTATCTCATATTCTAGTATCTGTATAAAATATTATTAAATAATATTTGATTATAAAGCTTATTAATATCAACAGAATACAGGCAATAACAATAAATAATAATATATAACATATATATACTATAGTTCAAATAATTGGAATATATTGTTTAACTAAATAAATAATTTTTAATGTTAATTTTAAGTTTGTATACATTATATCTTATAACCAATTAACAAATTACATCAGATGCAGATGATGAAGTTCTAAAACATTATCAAAATCTACAAATAATTTAAAAAAGCAGAGAAGAAAAATAAATTATGTAATCAAATTATTAAATATCTTATAGTTTTAAAAATGATAAATGGTAACAATTAATTTGATCAATTGTTATATGATATAACTTATATCTATATGAAACATTTTACAAATAAAGCAAAAAATAAAATAATTTAATTACAATCAAATTATTGTTACCTACTCTATTACCAATAAACTTATCCTAAAAGATATTTCTATCATGACAAAATAATCACAAAGTTAATGACATTATGAGATGAGAATAGTAAGCATGACTTAAAACCTTACTATTTAATTAAAATTAAAACTAATTTTCTTAACAATTAAAACTAATTTAATTCACTAATTGAGAATATCATTTAATTATTTTAGAATTGATTTCATATAAATATAGAAACTTATTTTTTCAATAATACTCTAGTATAAGATTAAACTTGGTGAAGACTAAATCATGTTGGATCCAACAATTTAACATAGTGAAATATTACTATAGTCATTATCAAATTAACTAGCATCAGTTATAAAGGAAATACTTTTAAACTGAATAAAAATATAGAAAAATTTAGAATTAAGGATGATGACAAAAAGTATTTAGGATTTTTTAGAACCTATTTCTGGAGCATTTAAAAATTTCATTAGGTCCTCAAAATTACAATAATTTACAGAATATACAAATGAGTAGTGTACAGGGAATTGTAAAATAAAAACATTACGAACGAGTATTTATAATCATATTTATTCAAACAGTGAATGGGAAGGGGACGGGTAGACACGTACTCAAATTGGTAGACTTCTTGGTAGCAATCTTGACTTTGTCCATTTCAAGAAACCTAATAAATACTGTCACTCTGATACTTCTGGAACTCTACACAATCGGCAAATAAAGTAGACAACAAACGATGAAGATAAGTTATTTTGGACAACCTCTAAACAAATACTCTAAGTGACAAACTGACAAGTAACAAGTGACATCAGAGTCATCAGACCATCGCGCATCGTGCCTCGTCACCATTATCACTATTGTGTTGGGACGTGTCGCTACCTATTGCACAAAAAGTATAACACCGCACAGCCCGTTGCCAATTCCTATAACAAAAAACCAATCATCATAATTCATAAGGGCTTCTCTAGACTCCACTCTTTAGTCTTTACCAATGTCATTTAGTATCCGAGTATTCCAAGTGACAAATTACCATTGCTAAATAACAGTGATAAACTTTGAATATTTTTCATTCGAAAAATCGACATTTCAAGTTTGATACAATCAAAAAGTCGATATAATTTGACATTTTTGAAGAATTTAACATTACTCGTGCAACAAAATAATTATATTGCTGACACCAATTTAGAATAATATTATTAAAATCGTATAACTACCACTCCGACTTGCGACAATTGGCACATAATATACACAACGTACCCGACACCCGTAAACACATTATCATATTTCATCATCTGGTTTTCGTGAATTATTCATTTATCGAATACCCTGTAATTATTATACTTATATTTATATTTTATAATAACTTATATAGTAACGTTTTTATAGTTAACGCGCAAATGCATTTTACCATAAAACTATATTTTTCTAAATGTTTTTATACCTATGGTTCAAATGTGTGTTATTTTTCTTCTTTTCAATTATTTTTTTGCAAAATATATGCGAAAATCGCCTTTATGAATTAATATTTTGATGAACGATGTACTGATCAGTGTTTAAATAGTTCAGAAAACTTAATTAACTATTTTTTACAGTACGTTTAACATTTAAGAAATCAAAGATTAACTGTTTTTTCAAGTTTTTATGAATGAATGCTATATTTCACATGTTTACAACCATTTTTTTTTTTTACATTAGCAATAGATTTAGAGCTTTTAAACGAAACTACGAATTTGGTAAACAAATACGATAGATATATAAAAACATTTACAAATTAAATTTTAGTTAAAATTAAAACTCTTATTATCAACTCTTAAATGTTAAATAAGTCAATTTAATTCCACTAGAAATCTTATTCAATTTTTAATGGTTAAAAACTATTCTTTAAAATTTAGTTTCCCAGAAATATGTACTTGGGCCTGGCATTAATTTCAATCGGACAAGAAACAGCTTGAGAGGTTGACTTTGAGGATTTAATTCATTAGTTATCTAAAATAAAAGCAAGAAAGAAAACATTTAAAAAAAAAAAATGACCGGATATTACTTAAAATTTAAATTAATTTTTTTAAATTTTTTTTATGTCTTATTTATATTATTTAATGCAAAATAATTTGATATAACTTATTATATTTCAGATCAGTAATCACAACTTTATTGAGTATTATATTACATTTAAAATTGGGAGACACACCGTCTCATCCCCTATTTTTGCCACGTCACTGGAATACTGAATGTTTATTGTTTAGGTATGTTATCTATGAGTTATTATAGCCCATACGTTGGTCACCGGTCACCCCTCTACTGTCTTCGTTTTCACCGCCGTAACGAATTTCCATAATTCATAAGCGTCATTAGTACTACCGTCGAGACGTTACCCTTTGTATCCGCCATGGATAATCGAGCTATCGCGCACTTAAAAGGATCTCTCAACGGCTGCGTGAGTGGCGTGACCCGTTTTCTAGTAACGAGACGCCTGAAAATGTGTGTTATTGTTCTTTATTTATTTATACTATTCACGCCATCGTATACTTATTTAGAATATAAGTAAACGATGCCAATAGTATACCTACGTACGTATCGATATATAGTATCGAGATATTATAATACAATTTTCATAACTAGATGTCACAATCACATCGCAGTGAATCCTGCAATGTGACAGATGGATCAAATTAATATTGATTTTATTCGTTTCATGATATTTATTATTCTCGTTAGTTTTGTATGTTTATCATGTTGTATCACAGTATGTAAATAAAAGAACACTGAAAACACTACAAATATAAAAATTTATATTATTATTTAAATACCAAGCTGATATTAATCAATAACATTTTTGTTCTAAATGTTCTAGTATACGAGTACCTATAATTACATTATTTAACTAAGTATGGGATGTAATTTAACATAATTTTTGTAATCTTAATATATAGTTATAAATATAATACATTTATGTTATTATAATAGTATATTAAATTTGAAAAAATGTTATTGTTTTTATATTATAAGAATCTATTCAAAATATAAAATACTAATGTAATATAATTCTAATCAATTTATTATACACTTAAAATATTTTATTTTTCAAAAACCTCACTAAACAATCATCAGGAATATGTTATATTATATTCATAGATATATTACGTTATAATATATTTTGTATATATTTATGTATAATTATTAATTTTACAATATTAACAATGTGAAAATATTAATTTAATAAATTTTACTTAAGCTTAAATTATGTTAATTTTCTCAGTTTTTTATTAGCACAGTGCAGGAACAATAATTTATTACATAGTAAATATAGTATAATTATTGTATGATAATTTTATTAATTAAAAATATGTTGCTTATTTTATATTTTTATGTAGGTATTTTGAAAGTATATTTTTTTACATATCTTTGCAATATCTTTATTAATGAAATATAAAAACGATTACAAAAATGAAAGAATAATAAGTTGTCATATTATTGTTGAGTCTATCATAAAAATATCAAATATTAATTAATAGGTAAAAAATAATGATTCTTATTAAAAAAAAAAAAAAAATATGGACTATACTGATTATAGTGTTTTTACTAAAAATTCTTCAAGTAACTTTAATTTATGCATAATGCATCTATAGAATTTTGTAATTGTTTTGTTTTTTTACAGCTTTTAAAAAATAAAAATAATTGTGGGTCTATAATTAAAAACTAATATTATACCTATACATATAATTTATACATGGTAGATTCTTAACACATCAAATTTTAAGGAAAACTAAAAAAAGTCAAGATATCGAAAAATATAAACAGTAAAATTTTTCTTTGTTAAGATGGATTATTCAGAATTGATAATTTTACATTGATATTAAAACTTTATGAAACATGCTATTCCCATCCAACATAAATGAAAAAAAAAATTATTTAGAACACATATTTTGATTTTTAACACTTAAATATTTTTGTAGATATGTTTACATTCAAATTATTGATGTTTTGTGACAATGTGTATAGCTTAATTATTTATATTAATGAAGTATATAGTAATTACATTTTTTTAAATCACATTTAAAAGTTTCTGCGGAGGAAAATAAAAAAATATAGTATTATTCTTGTGAATTCACTCAGCATAATAATTTAGTGTTCTAGTTTCTTGAAATAAATTAAAATAAAACAACGCAACTTTCAATTTGAGAGAAAGAACTCTTGGTATAAATTGTTACAAGAAGATTCTTTTTCTCAACTAGAAACCTTGCTATTTTCTTGTTGAAGATATTTTGTAAGTTGCAACAGTAGTCTTTGTGTAGAGATAATACTAAACTACTAATTATTAGTAATGATGACTACATTTCTCAAGACCATAATACGAATTTATTCTTCTTGTATTAGCAGTAAACGTTCAATGTTAAAAAATCACCTCAGATTACAATGAAGAACATATTCATACGGGCATATACTTGAACGAAAAACAGGCTCGTCACACTCATCTCACGACTCGCAACACTAAAACGAGTAAAACGTCTACAGCAGGGGTGTAACTGGTGTAAGTGTCGAGCCGTCGACCGGGATACTTGAAGATTAAAAATCGATACGTAAGGAAGTTTCGTCATGCGTAGTACGTTGCTAGTTTCTACGATACACTGAGTAGTGAGTACTGACTGATTCCACTCCCTACAGAAAACTTTTTAACACAGTAATACGTTTTTTTTTACTAACGTAAACTTCGTATAATATTCTTTCGTATTGATTGATTTTTCGACACGGTCCAATCGCAGTTGTCGTTATTAGATGTTAGACGCTCTATTGGCCAATCGGCGGTCCCGTTACTGTCACCCCTCCACTGCTGCCGTGATAAATGTTGTCGACGCCCGACGAATGACCTTTCCAAAACAAACATGAAACAATAATTAGCATACTGTATTACTGTCGCCATCGTACAGTCGCTGCATAGTTCATTTTCGTGTTTTAACTTTTAGACAGTTTTAGTCCATCATTCTGCAGCTGCTTATTTCGTCTTTTTACTTGACCACACACCGTTCACGCATTGTAAGTGCCGTCGGACCCGTGAATTTAAAACTCCACGCGATCCATTTCGCCACGACGCGGCGTCTGTCTGACATTCGCGACCTTTTTTGTCTACCATCAGCTCGGTCTGATTTTTGATTTCAGTGCTCACCAGTCCGTCTGGGCTTTTGGTTTAGACTTAATATTCTGTTTTCTGTCGAATACGGAATAGGTACTGGTTTCCTTGACCCTTTTTGAGGAGTGTAGGTGATTTGTTTGCTTGAATGTAGATTGTTTTGATTTTGTAATTTGTTTCAGTTGAATCATGGCTCGTACTAAGCAGACCGCTCGTAAATCCACTGGGGGAAAGGCTCCACGTAAACAGTTAGCCACCAAAGCCGCCCGCAAAAGTGCACCATCCACAGGTGGAGTAAAGAAACCTCATCGTTACCGTCCCGGTACTGTAGCTCTTCGTGAGATTCGTCGTTACCAAAAGTCCACAGAATTGTTGATCCGCAAATTGCCTTTCCAACGTTTGGTCAGAGAAATTGCTCAAGATTTCAAAACTGACTTGCGTTTCCAAAGTGCTGCTATTGGAGCTTTACAGGTATTATTATTTTATAAGTTTTATTGAAACTAAAGATTTATTAATCTGTTTTGTTAGTTTTTGTTTAAATTTAATGATTTTTTAAAGTTTTTAATAAGTAATTTTGTTATATTACCAATTCACATTTATAGTTCTTTTACTGAGTTATATTGCTGACCTTTAATTTACTACATGTATCATACACTTTCTAATATCTAAATTATATATTATCATTATCATATTATTATTATCTAATTATTAAGTATTTATTTCAGGAGGCTAGTGAAGCATATTTGGTTGGTTTATTTGAAGACACCAACTTATGTGCTATCCACGCCAAACGTGTTACCATTATGCCTAAAGACATTCAGTTGGCCAGACGTATCCGTGGTGAACGAGCTTGATTCCATTTTTTCAAGTTTATTTTTTTTTTCATTTGATTTTTTTTCTGAATTATCTTTTTACACATATATTTATATATTTCCCCCCTCAAAAAAAAAAAAAATAAAAATAAAAAAAAATATTGAATTAATTATTACTATTAATAAGTGTTGGTTTAGTACTAATATGTAGAAATCATTTATTTTGTTTAAACATTATCTAAGTATTAAATTAAACAAACAATTGTAGTAACATATTATATTATTTAACTTTTTAATATATACTGCAAAATATTGTTCAAAGTTGTTTTTTAACCTACATAATATACTCACTAAGTTTTGAATAAATATGCAATGATTACAGTGAATTATTTATTATCATTAATTAATCCTACAATTAAAACAAACAATACTAATATTATTTAATTGTAAAAATTAATTCTGTTTCTTAAGAGGTTGTAGTACCCAGATGTTATCTTCTTTTTACTAATGTACATTATGAGTATTATGACAAATTTGTATTAAGTAAAATCCATTTTATTCTTTTAGTTTTAATATAAGTCAATTGACCTATTATCAAACTTTAAGGTAAAAATATTATCTAGGACATTATGAAAGCTTTTATTGATATTATAAATTTTAAGTGAGTTATAGCTATTTAAAATATTAAAACATAAAATGCTATAATTCACTTAAAAATAAAAACATCATTAAAAGTTGAACATAATCCCATACATAATACTTTTACTGTTATATTTGATACTGTGTAAATTGACTCATAATATTAATGTTAACAGTTAAAACCAAATTCTGTTGAATGTAAATTTGTTATATCTAAGGTTGGTAAGACAAATACAATACATGTGGCTATGATTTTATCTTAAGAACTAAGTAATAATTATATCTTTCATGAATGCTCCATATTAATTGCTTGATTGGATTTTACTTATAGCTGGTGTAGATACACAATAATATTTATAGTATAAACATATTACAAAATTATATAAATATATACAGTGGATTCTGCTCAACATGGCAACGTTGGGACCAGCCCTGTTTGCCCACATTAAGCAATTACCCAAAAAACCGAAATTAGTTAAAAAAAGTTTTTATTTTACACACGTGCATCATACAATTGTAAAATATTTTAAATTACTATATAAATAAAACTAAATATAAGATACTAAATAAAAAAACTTTTTGGATGTGGAAGGTATGCAAAAATTGTAATTGTTCGTTGGTCTAAGCTGTTAAGTGTAGATCTGGTTAACAAGAGTGGCACATGATTCAGGTTTATCAGATGGACATCGATCATTACCCTTTTGTGTATATTCTAACCATATTGCCCACATAAACCGAACTGAGTGCCCATATAATGCTGAGCCCAATCTTTTGGTGTAGATTTCAAGATGATCCAATGAATATTGAGTGTTTATTAAACTTTTCATTTTGTAAATCGTAAATGTGCACTTCATGCTATATTTTGCATGATTATGGTTGTTTGATTTTAATTTTTTAATAATTCTGTAAAATACATAGTGAACTTGATGGAATTTTTTTCCATCCTAAGGAGACCAATCGAAATCTATTGGTTTTTGTTCAAATATGATTTGTTTGATAATAAATATTTTATATGTTATCTAACACAAACTTTTTATTAATGAATGGTTAATTTATTATAAAAATAAGATTATAACATTTAAAACAATCTTAGAAAAAATTAAAGTTATAGGTTACTCCACTTACATTATTATCATATTCTCAGCAAAATATTTATCTAGGACACCTTTGTGCATCCAAAAAAATTTGATCTGACACATGTTTGTACAAAATAAACAATCCTAAAATGGAAAAAACTATTAACAACATACAAATGTTTTTTTTTTTAATCAATACTTACAATGATAACTATTAATAATCATGATTCTTTAATCATCAATATTAGCTGAAATGGTATATAAACATCTTGATTCACACCAATGTCACAATATATACATCTTAAAATAAAGATTATGGAAACAACAAGGCACTCATCATTTGAAGTATGAGAATTTGTCCAACTCACAACAGTTAAGGATAACAATTTCACATTTAATAGAATACAAATTTTTATGTTAACCTAAACATACGAAATGATTAATTTGAGTGTGTTATTAAAAAAAAAAACTTAACATTTGTATATGCCTATAATACTAATACATTTAGATTGAAAAAAATTTTTATAATTTAAAAAAAAACAAAATAAACATTAAGTAGGTACCTGTACTTTGTAATGGTGAATATTGAGCACCGTCTCAATTTTAAAAATTAAGTAGACTATTCTGGAGAAAGAAGTGATGATAAAACTTTTAGTGTAGGTTTGAGACGATCCAATGAACATTGAATGTGTTATTCGATAAAAAAAATTTTCATTTGTAAATGCCTATAACACTAGTACATTAAGATTGATAAATATTTTAATGATTTAAAAAAAAACAAAATGAACATTAAGTAAACTACTCTAGATTAAATAAGTGATGACAAATAATTTGGTGTAAGTTTCAAGAAGATCCAATGAGTATTGAGTGAGTTATTAAAAAAACAAAATTTAACATTAGTATATGACATTATATGCGAATATTTGAAATGCTATAACACATTAAGTATTATTAAAAACACAATAATTTCAAAATAACCATTAAGTAGACTAATCTAGATTAAATAAGTGATGAAAAAATAATTTGGTGTAAGTTTCAAGAAGATCCAATGAGTATTGAGAGAGTTATTAAAAAAACAAAATTTAATATTAGTATATGACATTATATGCGAATATTTGAAATAGTATAACACATTAAGTATTATTTAAAACACAATAAATTCAAAATTAACATAAAATAGACTAATCTAGATTAAATAAGTGATGACAAATAATTTGGTGAAGGTTTCAAGATGATCCAATGAGTATTGAGTGAGTTATTAAAAAAACAAAATTTAACATTAGTATATGATATTATATTCGAATATTTGAAATGCTATAAAACATTAAGTATTATTAAAAACACAATAAATTCAAAATTAACATAAAGTAGACTAATCTATATTAAATAAGTGATGACAAATATTTTGGTGTAGGTTTCAAGATGATTCAATGAGTATTGAGTGTGTTATTAACAAAACAAAATTTAACATTTATATATGCCTATAATACTAGTACATTTAGAATGATAAATGTTTGTATGATTTAAAAATTAAAAATAAAACATAACTTTAAGTAGACTTTTCTAGAGTGAGTGAGTGATGACAAATCTTTTGGTGTAGGTTACAAATTAATACATGAATATTGAACGTTTATAAGTGATCTAACTAAATTTAACACGTCATTTATAGTAACAATATTTGTACAACAGTTGCTTAATATTTAAAACTTAATTGTTTATAAAAATAATCAGTTGTTCATTTAAAAATCGTTGTCTTCTGTTTTAAAAAAACATCAATGTAAGCTATAGCATTTCCACCAATATACGATATACAGACATTCCTATATACATAGCCAACCATCCTAAAATAAAAATAATTTATAATAAAAACTAAGTGATTATATCAGAGAATACTTACAATTAATTTAACAAAAATCTCGTGTTTTGAGTTTTGACACCAAATTATTGACTGAAGAATAGGCAATGCAAATCCCAATGCTCAATACTGGCACATTCCATAAATGTTACGCATGAGATTTAATCGATCGTGAACAGGCACACACGTGAAATCAGACGCATTTAACATGCAGCTCATAGAAGTACAGCATATAAATTGCTCCTATAGAATCCATATTTACTTTTGACCTAAACATAAGAAAATTACTCACATTAAACTTGAAATTCATAGCATTTACTAAAATCTCAATCAATTTTTAATATTCAAATTTTATACACTTCATGAGTATATGAATGGAATAGATTTCTACAACCTTTATTTCATAAAAATTAAATTATCATATACGACACATGCATGAACACATAAGAAAGAACTTACCTACTTTCAATTTCGATAATAAATCACCTCCTTGCAATGCTATCTCGAACACAACAAAATCGCCTGTGTCGAAGAATGAAGCATACATTGAACATTGAACGTCAAAACCCGCAAGAATATCGTGCTCTCGTTTCCGCTGCTAAAACCAAAAAAAATTAAAATAATTTGTTACTAACACATGAACAATCAACTATAACTATAGGTATTAGGTAACTTAATATTATTAATTTCTTTTATATTATGTAATATTCTTTAAAATAATGCTAATATCAATAAAATTGTACAAAACATTTTATTTGAAAATATTTCAAATTATACACACTACCTCATTAACACGTCACGGTCAGTTACAATCAGTTACTTATAACAGTAATTTCAATTTTTTCAATTTTTATGTAATTGGTCACTACTGCTATAACAGTAATTAACAAAACCAACGAAATCGGGCATTACTGCTCATACAGTACTGCTTTTAATGGTATTATACTCATACGATACTAGAAATAAGATTGACCCATTACGTATACTCGTATACTTGGGCACGTAACATTATCACACAATAATATTATTCCAAATAATATGACATGTTCTATTTTTATATTTTCTGGTAGAATTTTTATTTTTATGTTGATATGGATGTTGGTTTGCTTTGTAATTACATATATGATATTATTATTAAAACGTTTATACGGAAAACGATTACGGAATAACAATTTACTTTACTAGTTTACTATTTAGTATTTAGTCGTATTTTGGACGCCAGACGAAGCGTACGTCATTATTTTCGTGTTAATTATTTACTGTGTGATAATTAAAAATGGTTAATAGGTCTAAAAAAGCTATTGAAGAGTTTTTAGATGAAAGTTTTGTAGATGAATCAGACATATCGAATGTTATTATACGGTTTTGAATTTATTTTATACTGTTACTGTTATAACAGTAATGACCAGGGCTGTGAATTTATAGAAAGTGCATTTTTTTTTGGTGATTGTAAAACATAGCTTTGCAAGTACATAATTTGAATTATGTAATTATGAATCCATCTATGAAACTATAATTTTGCATTTTTTGACGTTTTAAATTTTTTAGGTCATATTTCGCATTTTTAGTTCATTTCCTAGTATTTTTGACCAAATTCTGTCGACTGACTTGTTTGAAAACTTTTTTTTATTTTACACAGGCTATATATATTATGTCAAATTTATATTTTATTAAATAATATTTTACACAAGTCACAAGCTATATACGATGGGTAAAGATAACGATTCGATAAAATAAGGCAATTGCTAGACAACTAGATAAGTTATTGTGACATATCATATATCAGTCACGAATTTCCAGATTAAGTTATTAGTAGGTATTTCAGTATTTATCGTTTAGTACCTGTTCGGCTGTTCTGACCTCAGATTTGATGACATGAATTTTATGCGATATGCTCCTATTACGTTTGTAGATGTTGAAAGGAGTTTTTCGGCATTTAAAAATTTATTGACAGACAATCGGCAGTCATTTTTATTTGAGAACATCAAACGAGCACTTGTTGTCCAATGCAACAGTAAATACTAAAGATGAATAAGGTACCAGAAAATAAATAACTTAAAGTTTGTTTTATTATTTTAACAAAATAAATACGAAAAAAATTTTTTAAAAATGTTTCAGGTGAATAGCATTAACTTAATTCAGATTCAATTAATTTTTTTATTAAATAAACTCATTTTTATACTAATATTTATTATCCTGTACCTAATATTAATATAAATATAAAAATTAAATTAAAAACCATTTTAAATTAATTTTATATTATAATTTTGGCATTTTATATTCCTTTTTGCATTTTAAGTGCATATTTTATTGCATTTTTTAAGGTTTTTTAGTGCATTAAATTCACAGCCCTAGTAATGACCAATTACTATTAAACAAAAATATGCAACAGGTCAATACTGCTATAGCAGTATTAAAATATTACTACTATAGCAGTAATAAAAAAGTGCATTTCTGAGGTAGATACATAAATTATATCAAAAAGTGAGGAGTCCGTGAACATGTTAAGCTAAGATTCAAATGAGAATATCTTACCTAGCTATTTTTTAAACTAATGACAATAGTTAATTAATAAGTTAGACTAATTATAAGTAAATAAGGTTAACACTTTTATGAGATAAAGTTTTCTAATAATTATTCATAACATACAGCTATAGAAATACATTCTGTAATAATAGTTTTTTAATAATAGTTAACGTTTTGCACATTCGTGTATAAACTATTTGTATTGTATTTATTTTGAGTGCATAAATTGACATTTTGATGATGGTATTTGCATTCTTTAAAGTATTAAAAAAATTATATTACACATTACAAAATTTTGTAGTTGAAATTTAACTACTGCTATCACTATAATCTACAAGTAAATAAATTAATAATTTTAAGTGTTTTTTTTTTTTTTTTTTATAGGGACTCTTGGACGTCCAGTTAATTTAATAGTAAATTGTGTCAAGTTATTTTTCAACCCAGGTTGGAAGTTGCAAAAATACAAAATAGATTTTAATCCAAATATCCAATTAAACATTAAACAAAAAATGTTAATTAAACATAAATCTATTTTAGGAGAATTTGTTTTTTATGGATTTAATTTGTACACCTTTGTAAAATATAAACTAAAAGTAAGTCTTTTTTTATTTATTTTTTTATTTCTTGCAAAAATATTATTTTTTTTATCATTTATTTTTAGAAATTCACTCTTTATGATTATGGTGGTCCTAATGGTTCATTAGTAATGATCACTTTGGAACATGTTTGTGAAATTCAAGAAAGTGATGAGAGAAAAATACCAATTTTAATGAAATTTTTACATAATTGTTTTCATAGTTTAAATTTTTTGAAGTTTAAATCCCAACACTATGATCCAGAAGCTGCAGTAAATATTTACAAAAATATTATTAAAGATAATAATGTATAATTAGTAATTACTGAGAAATAAAATAATTATTCTCAATAAACATTAATTTATTATTATAACTTGTATTTTAGATACAGTGTTGGTAAATGTCAATAAATAAGTAACATCAATAAATATTGATTTAACAAGAATGTATTTTTATTTTTTTATTTTGGGTCTGGAAATACTTTTTCTAGTAAAAAAAATTCTTATTAACTTTGATAAAAGTTTCTGGTAGCAAATTGAATCTAGTTGTTACTTTTGGGATTTTGACAGATAAAAATAGAAAATTCTCTGTAATTTTTAAAATAATTGAGGGTAAAAAATAAAAACATTTGTTATTATTTTTATATTTTTAAAATAATTATTACTAGATAAACTTGATTATTAAAAAGTTACACCATCTTCTTTCAGACTAATTTCTCGTTGCATAAAATTATTTTTAAATTAAATAAAAAAATTGAAATTAACATTTAGTAGTAAATACATTAGTGTTTATTCAATGATGAAATACGTTTAGTAACTTAATTTGCCCGTTTTTTCTACATTTTTTTTTTTTTTAATAATATTTAGGTAATTAATACAAGACTTGGTATAAAACATTTTTCTGGTTACGAATTCGGACTTGGAGAAATTGAAGATCAACTAATATTAAGTATTGAACAAATAAACAAATTTACGACTGCACAAACTGTTTTAGATTTCTTACACGTGAGCTGTGGAAATAACAGAAGTAGAGCTCCTAATTTAATAGTATGTAAGTATAATCCTACCTACATAATGTATTGATATATTTATATTCTATACCCAGTATATTTGATATTAAAGACTGTCCATGAAAATATGAAATATCAATTTTTTTTGAACACCAACTATAAAAACATGTTATTGTTCAAGTGTACTAAATCTATAGCAAATGAGCCTAAGTTTGGCACGTTGGCCTAATTTAAAGGCACACCAAAATATTTTTATTTTATTGTTAAATCTTGCATTAAATGAAAAATTAATTTTACATAAAAAAAAAAATTATTTAATCGTGAGATAAAATTATAAAATATACTAGTTTTCTATCTTTTCAAATTTAAAACTAATTTTCAGAGATTATATAGGTAAACATTTTCTTAAATATTTTATTTTTATATATATATTTTTTTTTAACATATAAATATTATTACTAATAAGAATTTTTTTAAACTAATTATAGAATTTTGGCTTAAAAGGTTTGTCATTTCTCTCTTAGATCGTTAGATGATAAATTGTTCAAAGTATTCTCTTGAATTTTTTCAGAATAATTTTAAAACTAGTATTATCGGGACTATAGTTCTGACATCATATAACAAAAAGTTTTACAAGATCCATGGTGTCAATGAGAATTTAAATATTTATTCAACATTTATTGATGAAGACGGATTAAAGATAACATACATAGATTACTTTAAACAAGTAAATTATACCATTTTACAATATGATTTTTGTTATTTATTTATGACTAGCAGCCAATTATTGTATATTTTATAACACATCTTTAATTTCATACTTAAATCGTATTTAATTTTTAATTTTAGAAGTGGAACATAACAACTCTGAATGCTGAGCAACCAATGTTGATAACTACAGAACATGATGAAATTGATATATTTAAAACAGTATACCTTGTTCCAGAATTATGTATCATAACTGAACTTACAAAGATTATAGGGTAACTAAAGTTATATATTAATAAGTAAAGCGCGGATTTTTATGCACTTAAAAGTATCGAAATATGCTATATAATATGCAGTCAAAATAATGAAAATATGCAGTCAAAATTATAAAAATATGGAAAAATATGCAAGAATTTTTTATTTATTTAAAATTTACAATAAAACTTATATTAATTAATTACTTAAATACTTAATAATAAAAAATTTAGGGAATTTTCTAAACTTAATTTATTTTTAAAATTTTATTTATTATTAAAATGAATAATCATATGCATTTCAAGTTTTTCTTCTTTGAAGCTATATTGTTTATCGATTAACATATTTTTGAAGACTGAGAACGAATGTTCGACGTCAACCGATGTTATTGGGGCATATTTGAAGCAACTTAGTATTGTCGGATCTTGATAAAGATCTTCGAGCTGAACGTTTTCGCCTAATAACACTGAATTAATTTTTTGTAGAATTTTCAGACCTTCATTTTTATTGGAAAGCTCGTTTAATTTTGTTGTAAGTGTTACACCTTTCGATCCAGAAATAGAATGCATCTTTTCTTTGGTTTTGTCAATTATTGAAAAGCTTAGATGTAAAGTTATATTTCGAGTTTCCAGTTTTTTTTATGACTCACTAAAAATGCCAAATGAGTAGATATAAATGTTAAATCATTCTACTTGACAAAATATGCAGAAATATGCAAAAAAAATTTCACTATTAGCTTAAAATTATGATGATTCGTAGAGATAACTGACAAAAATCCAAAAATATTAAAAAGAAAAAAATATGCTATTGCATAGAAATCTGCGCTCTATTAATAAGTAAATAAAATTGTTTGAATTGAACTCAAAGTGAAATATCATACTTCACTCAATAAAAGAAAAAGATTAGATATATGCTATTCAACTTTATTTATTTGAAATAGAAACTACCATTATTATCATTTTTGATTTTGCCCAAGTCATTTTAATAAATCAAAATATATCCGAAACCTAAAATTGATTAAATAAGAGCTGTTTAAAATTAGAAAATAACATTTTAATAAATTTAAATTTGAATACTTTTTTTTTAACGTGTTTATTTTTTTGTTCTTAATACCAGTGTTAATAATTCTATATTTTCTAATAACTGAATAAAATAATAATTATTAATAAATAAATCATTCTTTTAATAATAATAATAGTGCTGACTGCTGATTACATCATATTATCAAAAAAAAAAGAAAAATGTCTTTAAATTTTAAGTAGCTTTTAAATAGTTAATTTAGTCAATTTTAGATTTAGAATATAAATTGATACATAAAATGAATTGAACAATTTGTCCAATATGAAAATATATTTAAATTACTAATCGGAAATTAAATAAAGTTAAGTCTAAGTTGTTTTACAGAATTTATGTATAAAAAAAAAAATTGAGAGTCGGGTATTATTTATGCTTCAATAGTAGTCTTACTGTTTTTACTTCTAGTTGCATGTTCTACAAATAGAATTCAAAAGTATGTAAAGTATTGGATTATAAAGCGTACCCTGTTTTTGTGGAAATTGGTTGAAATAAAAATTTACAATTTATAATATTAAACATAAATATTTTTTATTAATTACTTTTTCATGATTATTAACTAATTGAAAATTACAGAAATAAGAATCTAGTTAAAGAATTGAATCAGTACACAAATTTTGGACCAAATAAAAAAATGATTAAGTATAAACAATTTGTTAATAAATTGCATTCTAAAACAAAGGTAAATATACCTGTTGAAATACAAAAAAATGTACGCTTTTAATTTATCCTGGATATTATAGTTCATAGAAAAATTGAAAACATGGAATTTACATTTGGACGAACATTTCATCAATATTTCTGGGCGTATACTTCCTTCATTCGTTTTAAAAAGTTTTTCAGAAACTTGTATTGTTGGACCTCAAGGAAATTGGACTGAAGAAATAAAGGTTTTAGGAATGCTATTTACTCCAAAAATTGAAAGCTGGGTTATTTTAACTCCTAGTAAATATTTTTTAAAAGTGAAAAAATTTACTAAAACTTTAATAACAGCAGCTAATAGTATAGCATTTCGTCTACCAATACCAGAAATGTTAGTTTTGATTATTTAATTATTTACTTGTGTTATTAAATTTATAAACTATATGGTACTATACTTCTGCCGTTTTAATATGATGACTTTAATTCAATATTCATTTCACATAGTGGATGTATGCTGTTATGGTTAGCTAGGGGATTTAGTTTTTTTGAACAATTATTCATCATTTTAAAACTGCATAAGTTTAAATGAGTATACTGATTTAGATAAGTTTATTTTTTCTAGAATACAAATGAATGACGCATACCAAAGGACATACATGAATCATTTGGATGACATCATAAATAAAAATGTACACAAATTAATTATATGTGTAACCAGGTCACTTAATAATGATCTTTGCAATAAAATAAATAGAAAATTATGTATCGGGACACCAGGTAAATAAATTATGTATTTTTAATTTTATTATTTTAGTCGTATACTAAGGATTTTTTTTTTTACCTTGCATAAGATATAATTTTTAAATCTATAATACTTAAATCTACAATTTTAATAATTTAAGAAATTTGAACTTCAATTTTTATACACAACACTAAAGTTAATATATTATACAATTAATACATTTATTAAATATAGGTATTTATCTTATGAATTTGTTGTATAGAAAATAGTTTATTAAAAGAATGAGTTGGTATAATTTCTTTCTGTCATATTTATTTTAATTTGTACAATCTGTGTAAAATATATTTGTAATAAGTACAATAGATGAAGGGGAACATAAGAGGGTTTGGTTGGCTTGATTGAAGAAACTAATCAATAATAATACTACATAGTGTGGGAAGTGAGTATAATTAAAAAAAAATAATATTTCAGTACCATCACAATTAGTGTCTTTGAAACAAGTTACAATCAACGACTATTCAAAGAGTATCAAAACTGCCATACGAATAAATTGTAAGGTAGGCGGAGTGCCCTGGTTAGTGCGATTCCCCATGAAGGTATTGTTTATTAAAAAATAAATTAAAAAAGTAAAACACTATGAAATAATTTTAATGATTTTTTCAGAATTGTATGGCAGTTGGGTTGGATATCTACCAAGATTTGCATAACAGTGATAGATATTTTTGTGCAGTTATGGCTTCAATGGATGATTCGTTCACGAGATACTTCAGTTTTGTTGAATCACTGTGTAAAGAGAATATTTCAGAATTTTTTGTTTCAACTATTGCTAGTATGTACATTTTAATTAATCATTTTTTAAAAATCTAAGAAAATAAAAATATATATTGAAACTTTAAAGCATAATTTAATTTTCTACCAAAATGTTTAATAATCTGCTTTTAATTTAAAAATTTAGATTAAAATATTAGAAAATTAATACCATAGCTTAATGCATATATTTTTATATTATGGTTGTCAATAATTAATATTTTGAAATATTTTTATTTTAATCTCAAACATTAATTGATTAATCAATAAAAGGAAAACAAGAATTAGGTTATATTTTGATCAAATACCTTTTTCAATTCAATTTTAATCGAATCTTACTTTATAGTGTTTTTTATGAATTTTAAGCCATTTGTTGAAGATCTGAATTCCTGCATCTCACATTTTTCTTAAAATATATAATACATAACACATATTATGTGTTATTTATAACCAAAAGTAAACCATAAGCAAACATAACTTTACAGCAATGTTTTGAAGTTCATTATAAATACAAACTTTTTGACTATTTTTATTATTATTTTAGATGCTTTATGCAAGTACAAAAACAGAAACGGAGAATTACCTAAAAGGGTATTTATATATAGAGATGGTTTAGAATTTGATACAATAGATAGAAATATTGTTAGTGTTTCTGAGATTTTATTATTGATGGTTAGTAGTATAGTATTTTTAATTTGTTTTAATACATATATATTTATTGTTCACAATCATGAAAAAACAATTACTTAAAATTTTGTTTTAATAGAAAAAACAAAAAGAGTCTTATTGTGGAACGAGTTCTATGGTTCCTTTTGCTTATATTACAATAATTAAAAAAGAAGCAACTCAATTATTTAGTCAATATGGTCCTACAAAATATCGAAATCCTCCTCCTGGAACAATTGTTGATACTAGTATCACTGACCCCATTACGTGAGTAACTTTTATTTTTACGTTCATTAAATTCAACAGAATAACGGGCACAACTGAGCTAGTTCCCATTTGAATGCCCATACCAATATTTTTTTAAATATTATACATATTAAGTATTTACATCAGTTTTATCTTTGACAGAAATGATTTCTTCTTGATTTCACATACACTAAAATCTGGGACAGTATCACCAACTTACTATCGTTTAGCTCTTAATACTATTCCTTATTTAACGATAGACGAAGTACACATGTTTACATACATGTTAACTCACATGTACTACAATTGTTCTGTAAGTATAAATTAATTAATAACAAACATAAAAATTAACATGTTTTATTGTGTTTTAACTTATTTCTAGCATACTATACGAGTTCCTGCTCCATGTCGAATGGCATACAAGTTAGCTCATTTTTGTGCGAATTCACTTCAGAGTACTCAAAACATATTGTTACACGGATTGCCATTCTTTTTTTAAATAGTTTTATTTTTTGTTTCTATATTTGTTATTTTGTTTATTCATTGTTTTACTTAGTTAAATGTTTTATACCTATTATTTATATAATTAGTGTCCAGGTGATCTGTACATTAGCTCTAGTTCAATTATTTTTAACGTTCAATATCTGCTTGAACCCTATTAGAAATGTCCATTATATATTATACACTAATAAAAAATAAATTGTTGATGTTCACTCATTAAAAAGTTTCATGCTTAATATTTACTATAGGCTATAATTAATAGGTATATAAAAACTTATTCTCATTAAGTATATTTATCTACCTTCTCTATTTGCTTCTCCAGTACAAAAGGGTCTTTAGCACCCCCTAGTTCAAATTTAGCACCTCTTATTTTTTATACCAAATTATTTGTTGCTAATTGCTAATTACAATCCCTATTAGCTTTGCTACTTGCGAGCGAATATTTTGTTAATGAGGAGGATAAAAAAACTAGTTAAGATTAAGTATGCTTTAGCAAAGGTTAACCAATTTATCTATGCTAAACATTGAAAAAGATGTATTGAATTAGCTAGACACCAAAACTATTTTAAATAAATATTGCATAAAACCCAGAAAAATTATAATAATTTAAAGTGTGTAGTAAATTATTATCTATTTATTAAGGTTATTACATTTAAAAATGATGGTTGTAATTTAATTTTTATTATTTACATGAAGTGTACTAATATGTGTTTATAATTTTGATGTACCTAATGAATGCATATTAAAGAATAGGGGATGTGAAAGGCTAAGCCCCCCACGGCTGTAAGGAATTAACAGTTTTACCACACCACATTTTAGAGGTCAAGTTGCACCTATGATCTTCTCATTATTTTTATCTCAACAGTGTTCGTTCCTATAAACTATTCTTTAGATGAATTGAAAATTATAGTGTATTCCAACATTAAATACCTACTACAACCGCCATGTTAAATTTTTGAGTTATGTATCTCCTAATTGATTTTTAATATATATATATATATATGTTTTTTTTTTTTTTACTGTTTAGATGTTAGATGGAAGTAATGTTACTGTCATGGCTTAGATTATTAAAATTTTTAGCTCAAAAAATATACTGATTTGATATCCTTACCAATGTCAAAGAAGATTTTTAAAAATGAATATTTATAAAATTGATATAAATCATAAAAATAATGTAGCTTGCAAATTAATAGATTTAATAATATTTGGACTAAAAAATAAATTTAAATGGACTTATTATCATTCTGGAACCATATCATTAATTATTTAGTTAGTATTTGCAATAAATACATAGACATCATTCAAATATTTATAAAAATTCATTAGATTGTTTTATCTTCTTATTCAGTAAGTATCTGTTAGCATTGTAGTTTGTATTATTTTGATTTTCTATTAAAATAAATACATATTGTTTAATTATATGTAACATTTATAATAATTAATTTAAAATAACATTTTACACTTTTTTCACTCAAATCAAATATTTTTTGGATTATTTGTGATCTTATGAACATATTTTTCTATGTCATAAAAAATCCCTTAATAAATATCTATTTGATTTCACCTCTTAGATTTTTCATGAATTTTAAATTATAAATTGTATTATACATAATATAAAATACTATGTAGAAATAGACTAGGTTTTTGTACTTTTCACTCTTTTTAGCGTCATGGCCGATATTTATCTCTGAATATCTATTGTAACCATAGCTGATAATATAAGAATATTGTATTTTATGATCTATGGTCATAATCTACAATACTTACAACAGGGTAGATTTAATAATTTGCCACCTTTATTTAAAAAAAAAAATCACCTCTATATAATACAATTTCCTTACAAAATAACATTTTCTATGTATTGTACAATTATTTTTTCATTTAACTGAAGTTCAATAAAAAATGTTTTGATTTAAATATAATTTTTTTTTTTTTTTTTTTATCAATATATAAATATGTATAAATCGAGGTAGAAACATAGGGAAGTTAAAAGAAATGTAGAGAACATGCTTTGGTTTGTACTTGGAATTTAAGGGATGAAATGGAAGTACTGGGATTTATATGAAAATACGGGGAAGTATATGAAAGTACTTGGAAATACACGGCAGTTCACGGAGATCTACATAGTTGAAAGTCTAATGTACAACAATTTGACAAGTAGTTTATCCCCCATTATTTTCATAACCGGCTATAGAGCTGGTATTTTGAATTTATTTCAAATCCATTATAGAAGGCGCTAGTGACGGTATACTCATACCTGCAAGGCTGCAACTGCAATATTATACCCTTTACAACGTATACAATTTTTTCAACAGTCGTCTCTGTTGTACGTAGAAATTGAGTACTTGCATAGTTGAATCGATCATTCAATCACTTATTCACACCTATTTTGGATCACGACGTTGAAATGTGAAATGTTCGAAATATGTGCGGTAGGCATGACTAAGAGCTATGGAAGTCTGATCGATATTACAAAGTCCTTGACCCGCGTTTATTTTATATTATTATTGAGGTTAGCGTCGATCCACTAGTTTAATTCGAACATTATCGACTACAATATTTATCTGGAGTCCATTGCTGCATCGTGCTCGTGACTCATGAGAAGTATTATTGTGCGCCGTCGTTATTCCCACTGTATAACATTTACTGGTTAAAAATCTTGCGCACGACTGCCAAAAACTATAATTTTACATAATTTTTGTGAAAAAAAACAGTAAGTGTTATTACTCAGTGTGATATACTTGCTATCTAACTTAACTAGTATACTACGCATAGCTGTTGTTTGTGCTCTGAACATCATCACGATGATGTACTTACAAGATTTCCTCGAAAGTAAGTTTTTAAATTTAAATAATCTAAAATAATAGAGCAACTGATTTATGTTATAATGTTTTGTTTAAGAACTCGAATTCTTGCCACAGGAGGTATTAAACTGTTCTTCTGAAATTGAACAACTGGACAAGAAAGTGAAAAGTAATTTATTAATTAATATTTATATTTTATATTTATTTATTAATTATTTATTACATAAATAATTTGTTTGAATTGGATTAATAATTGTTAAACTTCTCATATGAATAATTTTTCTTTTTACAATATTAGTAAAATTATCATATAAATAATTAAATTCAATGATTCCAATGACAAAATATGTTTTTATCTTGAATTTTGGAAACTACATTATTCATCACAATTTTAATCTAGTATAACTTAAAAACAAAAAATACACATGGGTACCCATCAGTATCCTTTTTTAATTTAAGAAATGTGCCTATGTTATGTATAACTGGTGTTTTCAGTAATCATTACTTCCTGGTTAGTGTTAATATTTATTGTTAATTATATTTTTTTATTTTTTATTTTTATGCTAAAACAGGATGATGACAGGTAATAAAATAAATTATTATCATATTATACATAGCTAATTATGGATGTTTTAGATTTTTTTTTAATTGTAATGATGTAAGATATATTTTATAATTAGATAGGTATCTATTTATTGTGAAAATCGATTATATTCATTCAGTTTATGCTTAAAAGGATGATATATGTTAATAAATTATTTGTAAACAACACATTATATGAAAAAAGAATGCTTGGGCAATAATCCTAGTTGAGAAATAATATTTGTAATAAAGTAAACATTTGGTTGTGCGGTGGTATTATTTTACATAAAATTAGATTGGGAAAAACATAAAAATAATGGATTATACGTAATGATATAATAATTAATAGTTATATACTTATACATTTTTTATTAAACAGTCAATTTTTTACTGTGAAAATTAGTTTCTTTTTTAGATCAATTCTTTACTAAGGTAAATGATTTCTTTCATATAATGTTTGTACTGAAACAACAACCAGTTGTGGTACTGGAATGATACTGCTTTGCTGGTACTTTTAATTAGTATATAAGTATCGATTTTATTAAGATTTTAATTTACATTCAATTTATTTTTATCACAGACTTAAAAATGTGGTTGTATGGCAAATTTTCAACATGTTAGATAGGGCTGATAATTACAGTCTTATGATCAACTAGTGCTAATGAGCCTATAATAATTCTAAAATCTTTATTATTCAACAAGTTATAATTGTTATGAATAAATTATATTTGGCCTGTTCTTCTATCTATGCATTCTGTATTGAAAAAACATTTTATTAATATAGGTACTCGTCTAATATGCTACCCACCGTAAAATTATATCTACCAAAAAACTGTATGTGTGTAGTATGCTGCCTACTGTAGTTATTTTTATTTTATTTTATTGCGGGAAAGTACATTTAAGTCATTACGATAAATAACATATTATAACAGTTGTACAAAATTATAGCATAATAGCCATTATGATATCTGACCCACCACGACCCATGATAACTTACTTTTAAATATATTATTTTAGTCTATGTTGTGTTAGCATATGTGTCCTAATCATAGCAAGTTTTACTTTTTATTTATTTATTTTAACATGTGTTAATTATTTTCAAGAAAGAAACTTGCTCCCAGAACTTGATAGTTGTTCTTAATTAAAAGATGGTGTTATTTGTGGAGGCACATTGAAAGAATATAAAAAAAAAAAAATAATTGTAAAAGGAGCTCAAATGATGATTTATTAAAAACTACTTATTTACGATGTCAAAAAAAGTTCCAAACTTTTTTCGCTTTAAGAAAAAAATATCCTTTTTTTACATATTAATAAATATTATAATTAATCAGTTAACTTTTTTTGATAGGTATTATACTACATCGATAAAGTAGCAGTAGGTAGCATATTAGACGACTACCTTAATTATATTTTATAGGTAGTAATAGACATTTAATAAAGTAGCACTTGCAAGTTTATTATCGATACACTGATAACAACAATAATGATGCATATGGGTAATTTCTAAATATTAGGTATTGATTATTTATTTTTACAATGTCTTCAATAGTACATATCGTTTTCTACCTTAATTACTTTCAAAATGATGATTATAAATCAATAATTTATCACAAAATATCAAAAAAAATAAATAATTTTTGGGAAAAATGGCAAAATTAAGTTTAATTCATTTGAATATAAATAACAGAAATACATGTAAAAAAAATGTTTTCTAATTTTTTTTCTAAAACATCAGATTTTAAATCTGAATGCTAGTTGTATTCATAATATCTCATTGCCATCATGTAAAAATTTGTCTAGTGATTTTTTTTATTAATTTTATTTCCAAATTTTAAATTTGTATTGCTCTATAATTTAATATCGACTAAGTTGCTATGCTGTCATGTTAAAAGTGACAGAATAAAACAAAATACCTATAGAGTTAAATAAAATTATAGATATCAATACTAACTACTTTTGTATGACTGTGACTATATATATGTTATTAAGTTTATAAATGTATGCCTGATTTTAGACTCCATGAACTGCATAAAAGATAATGTAGATCATTTGTTTTCAAAAGCTAATACTATGCATCCAGATGATTTAAATTCTGATTTTAAATTAATAATGAAAGCTGGTGACAAAGCTCTTACGCAATGTGGTAAATATAATCATTTGTTTATATATAACTTGATTTAATAATCTTAAACTTAAATCTTACTGGATTATTATATTTTTAAATTTCAATTTTTATCTTTAATTTTAGATGAAAAAATTCAAATAGCTGACAATTTAAAAAATATAATGGTTAAATACATGAAGCAATTGGATGATGACTTGGAAAAGTTTAAAATGGATTTAGAAGTTGATAAAGATGGTATCACTGAAAAAATTGAAAAAAGTAATGATTAAATATACATATTTTTTACATAAATATTTTTGAATAATAATTAGGTATATTTATATTTTCCTTTGATAACTATATTTACTCCAACTACTTAGATGGCCAATAATCATAGTATTACTAATTGAATAAACATAGATAAGATCAGTGGCCGAGCCAAAAGAGTTTTGGGTATTGACCCCTATTGATTGTTATTTAATTATTTTTAATTATTCAATAAATTAGCAATCAAAACAAAACAAACACGGTTAATGTAATGAAGTTCAAATACTTTTATATTACAAACAAAATAATTTTAATTAAAACGCATGTTTTGAATGACTTTTTTTTTTGCTTTCCATGTTCTGGTTTGCTAGATTTTAAATTACCCATCCTTAGTATTCACTTAAACCTTAACCCCCCTCCCCCCACCCATTCAAAAATTCTAGATAAAATATTTTTATCAAGTTGTAGTAATTGATATCTTGCTAGTAAATTTTAAATATGTTTCATGCATTTCTTAGTAAATTAGCGATAAATTAATTTTATATATTTTTAAATATTTTGTAAATAAGACCATATTTATAAATATTTGATTTTTTTCAACCTGTTTCTAAATTTTGTTTTATTTTACCAGTACCTTTTTTTAAGTATATATTTATATACATATACAATTTGTTATAACACCGTAAGTTGACACTTTAAGAATTAAAGTAGGTTATAAACCAGTACCACGTATTTACTAAACATAATAATATATGAATCAAAAAAAAAAAAATGAATTTAAACTTTTTAGATTCTACTTTTATTTAAAAAAGAATCACATTACAATATATATATACATATATAGATTTTGATGAAAATAATATTTATTCTTGTATTGCAGAGGTAGATGAAACCTTAAACAGCAATTTCAAAAAATCAAGTTCTTCTAGTAGAAAAAATTTATGTTTACAATTTAATGCTACTCCTACCAACTTTCAAATGGATCAATTTCCATTATTTCATACTTTGGAAGATATGGAAGCTGGTAGCTCAGTAATTTCAGAAGCTGCACCCAAAGTTATTATTGCTACTAAAAAGGTATTATAAATTATGTGCAAGTAGTTACCACTCTGATATATATTACGTGACGAATGGATTATTGTAATAGGTGTGTTAAATTTGAATTCAATGGTTGATATATTATTGTACACGAAAAATTATTTTGAGCGGAGACGGTCTATTCTTAAATTACTAATAATATTCTATGATTTTTTTTGATGTAGTTATTAAAATAATTTATTTTACTTAAAGTATTATGGTAGGTTGGTTAAATTTTTACAAAAATATTACGTTTATACCATATTATTAAAATATTATTATTGACTTTAAGGTCAATATCACCTTACCATAAAATAGTATGAATAGATTCATAGTATAAAAAGATAATATCTTGAAATCAATTTACATACTTTGAAAATGTTATTGTATATGATAAAATTCATAGTGAAGTGGAATATCATAAATCAAAATACCAAAGAAATGCAATTTTTTTGACTTATCAAGATTTTAGGAAAACATTTGAATTAAAAGTTTTTAAAATGTGTGTACATATAATTAAAGTGGGTATTGTTATTAATAGAGCGCGGATTTCTATGCAATTGCATATTTTTTTTCCTTTAAATATTTTTGGATTTTTGTCAGTTATCTCTACGAATCATCATAATTTGAAGCTAATGGTGAAATTTTTTTTGCATATTTCTGCATATTTAAAGGTTATTGCATATTTTTGCATATTTTGGCAAAATTCAAAATTTATTGCATATTGAAGCGAAAATTTAAAAAAATGTATAAGAAGATAATATTTTGTCAAGTAGAATAATTTAACATTTATATCTACTCATTTGGCATTTTTAGTGATAGTCATAAAAAAAACTGGAAACTCGAAATATAACTTTACATCTAAGCTTTTCAATAATTGACGAAACCAAAGAAAAAATGCATTCTATTTCTGGATCGAAAGGTGTAACACTTACAACAAAATTAAACGAGCTTTCCAATAAAAATGAAGGTCTGAAAATTCTACGAAAAATTAATTCAGTGTTATTAGGCGAAAACGTTCAGCTCGAAGATCTTTATCAAGATCCGACAATACTAAGTTGCTTCAAATATGCCCCAATAACTTCGGTTGACGTCGAACATTCGTTCTCAGTCTTCAAAAATATGTTAATCGATAAACGATATAGCTTCACAGAAGAAAAACTTGAAATGCATATGATTATTCATTTTAATAATAAATAAAATTTTAAAAATAAATTAAGTTTAGAAAATTCCCTAAATTTTTTATTATTAAGTATTTAAGTGATTAATTAATATAAGTTTTATTGTAAATTTTAAATAAATAAAAAATTCTTGCATATTTTTCCATATTTTCATAATTTTGACTGCATATTTTTATGATTTTTACTGCATACTTTGATACTTTTAAGTGCATAAAAATCCGCGCTTTAGTTATTAATATTTATTTATTTTTTAAATTATTATTTAATACTAAAAATTATGATAATTTCACTGTACACAGTGTACAATGTGTCATGACGTATAACCGATCAATCGCAAATTCACAACTGACAATAACGGATGTAGTGACAATAAACCAAATGAAAAACGTGATAATAAACACATTAAACATGATTAGATTAAATTATTAAAACGGACAAGCTTATTAGACAAATGATTTTAAAATTTATCCATCACTATCCGTCAATAAATGGAACACCATAGAATGTCAGTTATCAATAATTTTTTTTTTTCAAGTAATCAAGGTTTTTGCAAGAGATTAGAGAACAGCATATATTTTTTTATTTCTATTTATTATGATTCCATTATACAAGTGATTTACAAAAAATGTTTTTGAATTAAAAAATATAATTAATATATAATTTATTTAGTTAAGATTAAGCTATCATACCAAGGACATTTAAATTTCTCTTTATATATTTAAGATTGGAGTGATAATATATTTATTTCACAATAATTTTTTATTACAAATAAGATATTAAACCTTATTATTTAAATGAAATATTGCTAATGTCTAGGCTTTAAATTCTTGTAATATTAATTCATTTATTAATGAGTACATAATAGATTTTTTATGTTTGATTCATTATTACATTTAAAATATTTACTATAAAAACTTAATAGATCAAGTTAATATAATCTTTTTTTTCAATTTTTTTCAGTCTGTTAAAAAATGTAAGTCAGCAAGTTTAAAAGCATCTACTGAAGTAAACAATTACAGTAGAATAAATACAATGACTAATGCATTATTGCCAGAATTTCCTATTAGTAATGAATTACTATATTCAGATAGATCAAAAAAAAAAAAAAAAAATAAAAACCATTCAAAGTAAGTATTAAATATAAATTATAAGTAACATTATCTAACTTTTTTTATGGACTTATTTTTATTTATTATCTATACTAAGTAAATTTGATCAGAAGAAAAAAGTTACTTGAAGATCACGCGAATAGAGAAAATATTCAATGATATTACTTTATAATTATTTAACTTGTTTTCTCAAAATTTTAATAATTATTATTTTTCAGAAATACTAAAAAAAAGATATCTAAGAATTTGTTTAATAAGTCAATCGATGAAGATATAATTATTGATCCAGTTACAATTACTGATCCAGTTACAATTATTGATCCAGTTACAATTATTGATCCAGTTACAATTATTGATCCAGTTACAATTACTGATCCAGATACAATTATTGATCCAGGTAATCCAGTTGATCCAAATCCAGAAGCCGATAATCAACGTTATTGTTTGTGTAATGATGTAGCGTATAAAACAATGATTGGTTGTGATAATAGGAAGGTGGGTATAATTAGAACAATAAAAAAATAAATATATAAAATGATAAATTTAGTTAAAAACCGGTATATATTAGCACTGTGTATATATGTGAATTTATAAAATTTATGTTTTTGGATTTAGTGTCCATATGAATGGTTTCATTACGAATGTGTTGGTATTAAGACTAAACCAAGTGGAAAATGGTATTGTCCAATATGTAGATTTAAGATGAAAAAGAAACGATGAAGATTGGATATAATATATAATATATCTTGTACTTAAAGCTTTGATAACGTACGTATACTTATACTATTAAAGTTAACATTTTTTTTAACCTTTCTTTATTATTTTATAGGTATAATTAGGAAAAGAAAATATTGTACCTCTGCGAAAACTTGCTGCAAGTATACTTAATGACTGATTATTTAATGTAATTTGTTTCTTTTTAAAATCAATTATTTTGTGTGTTAAGTATCAACATAACTATTATTAAAATGTTAATATTATTTAAACATTATTTTTCTTTAAATGAATATACAAATTATTTATATTGGTATTCATGTCCTATGCGGTCTACCGCACATTTGTCATCTACCACATAGCACATAGTTAGAAATATGGATGAATACATAAATGTAGAATTTCAATATAATATTTAATAATATAAGAAAATATATAAAAATATGCATTAAAATATGTAGGTAATTAGTATATATATTAAAAACTGACTGACAAAAAATGTAAAAATATATAGAAATATACATTAATCAATTTAAATTAGCTACAACATAATTTCACATCTCTTAAAAAACAATCAAATGTGTTGTCATTCTTGTATTTTAGACGCCATCATTGTTCCGCCAAATACGAGGGCAGCAATGATGGAGATGTACCGTGCATTTTTTTAATAATTCGAAGTTTTAAACTTCCCCATAAACTTTTAATGCGTTGTATGTGCACACCACTGGTGGAATCGACAAAAAACTGGGAATGATTGACAGTTTTATGTATGTACCCTTTAGTTTCTATCGTCTTATATGCAAACCATTCATCCGAGTGTATTTCTGTACCAATTTTAATTTCATTTTGAATTATTTTGTGTAATGTTTGTCTGTCTCTTTTTTCTACGATAAAGTATCTAGCATCAATAACACCATTTTCATCTTTTTGACACATACCAAACACCCATGGACCAGTTAGTTTTTTACCATAATTTCTATTATTAAAATCAGGTTCCTCTTCGTCGCTCAACTCGTCTACATCAGCATTTTCAGTAGCAATATCAGCCCCCCAATAATCGTCCTCTGTTGTACTTTCTTTTACTACGCATTAATAATTCATCGACTTGAACAATAGTATTTAAACCTCCCATTTTACTTCTTTTTTTTCAAAAGCAGCTATTGGTATGTCACGGCATAAATTCATCCAGTCAGTCACTGTGTGATTTCCACGCCCCATTAATTTTATTATCATACTTTGTGGTATTTCAAAACACCAATAATAAGATAGTTCTAAAATTTGTGACAATAATAGACCACTATTACATAGACCATTTTTAACATTATATGTGAAAAAGGTGTTACCTTTACGGACGGATTGAGTTCTTTGACAGCCTTTCTTTGTGCATCGTATCACAGTTCGTTCTTTTCCTCTTTCTTTGCGAGTATAGAATTTAGTTTGCGAGCCACAGTGAACACAAGGAGGTCTGTCGATTTCAATAAGTTCTCTTTCCTTTAAGAAAGCTACGGTATTTTCTTTCGATTGAACAATTGCATAAAAATGTTTGGCCAACATAATGCTTAAACACAGAAAATTCAGAATTACAGAATAATGTATCACGTTTAACGGCACAAACTAAACTGTAACTGATTTTCTCATGCGTTTACGATTACAGACACGATTATTGCTATATTAGATTATAAATCGTTAAGATAAAGCTTAACTTAATCGTTAAGATAAAAGGGAATGACCTAAAATATATAGGTAGATGCGCGGCAGTAGACCGCATATGATATGAATACCTTTATATTATATCATTATTTAGGAAGTATTTAAATTATTTATTTATGCTATACATTTATAAATGTATTATAACTATGTTTTATGAAAATAATTAGTATGTTTTTGAGTTTATTGATAACATTTATATTGTTTTTTTTTGTTCAAAGAAAATTATTGTATACTATATTGTATCACTATTTATCGGGGCACAATAAATATTTTAGATATTTGATATATTTTTGTTTAATTAACCATGTTCTGTTCTAAATGATTATATAAGTTCTCACCAAAACTTTTTATTGACCCGGATCAGATTAGGTACTTGAGGCCTTGCTGGCAATCAAGTTAAAAATGACCTCATTAACAGCCATAATTAATAATTCACTTTAAAAAAATGAACTTGATTATAATTTATTTGTAATGTTTAATCTAACAAATTTCTCTATACTTACTAATTTTATTTTCTTAAATTGGATTACAATTTATTCTTCATTAATTTGCAGGGATTGGTTATCATTGATATCTAATTTAAATAATTATTAAAACCTAACCTAAGGAAAGAAGAAAATCTAGAAGGTGTTAGGTTATGTGTACTGTATTAAATCGAAAAGCTTTGGATTTATTACCGAATAAATATATAACTACAAAATAAGTATAAACAAATAATGAAATAACAATATAATGTTAAAAATAACTTTTATGTCATAAATCAAGACGATTTTTTAATAATGTTTATAATTTGATAATGATCAAGTGTAAATTTAAAATAACAATTGTTTCATTACATTTAAATATTTAATGTACTTGAAATCTCATCAATAATGTCTTTGTATTTCTATTCGAAAATAATGTAAGCCTCAGAATTTATTATATGTTTATATATTTATTTATTATATGTTTACTTTTATGTGTAGCGTACTTAAATAATGTTAAATAACAAAACTTCAGTACTGTGTCAAATTTTAAAAATAAATTCATATTCAAAACTAACTTTAGATTAAAATTGATCATTATTGAATACTATATTATAAAATATTTTTAAAAGCACGACACATCTTTTTTATCAAATATATTTACAAGAACTTTTTTCAGTAGCGGTGTCGTATGCTATCTATGTATAAAATAATGTCCACAGGTGATTTTATGGTGTAATATTAATTCGTTTTAAACCACAATACTTTATGGATAAATAAAGATTATTAATGAATGTTCTCAATTAAAGTTGAAAAGTATTTATTTATATTGTCAACATTTATTTTTATATTTATGGAGAGCCTCCATTCTTCTTTAAGCTGCCTTTTCAGAAATTTAGTGGCACAGTATAATTTTATATCATGTTTCCTTTTATTTGTCGCCAAATATATTTACATAGGTATTCCATCATTTGAGTTTCAGCACCTGTTTCTGGATCAATAAAATTATTTTTATGATTTATAGTGTTGTGTATATAACTATGATTATTTAAACTGCTGTAAGCTTAAAAGTTTTTCATTCATCTGAGAAAATGGTCATCCCTGGCTCAATTTCTCTTTGAACAATTGGAAGCAAAGTGATACAGTCTCTTTTGAACATAAAATAATCGGTCTTATAGAATGTAGATAAATAATATTACAATCATATAGATAACATACAACGATAAATAGTATTTGTAGATAATAAATGATACGAGCATTTATTGTGTAGATAGCATATGACACCAATACTCTTTTTTCTTTAACAAACTATCTTGAAATCTAATTTTTTCTAATTTTCTCAGTATCTTAAGTCCTTCAACCAATTGTTCCAAAATTTCAATCAATTTTTATATACGCTTATACTAATTTCAAATAAAAACTGCTACTTTTATTAATAGTCCTAAAACCAAGTGTGTTTCTAACTTGATTTAATTAGAACACGCACTCGTTGTTTCTAAATTAAGTGCATAAACATAAAAATATGGTCAATATGTATACATCATTGAAGATAAAACTTCTTTTAACGCCGATTGGAGTTGGTTAAATCTTCCAGGCATATTACTAGAACGGTCAAAAGCTGTATTTATTATATTTTTAATACCTAATCATAAATTGTTTAACACGGTTTTGACCAATTCTTTAAACCTAAAGCTAATAAAAATTGTTTTAGCTTTATCAACTATGCATAACAATGATTAAAATTGATGCTGATTGTGCTAAATTTAAGCCTGAAATTATCAAATTTTAGAAGTCGACAAAAGGAGAAGTCGATACTGTTGACAAAATAAAAGAAAAGTATTCCATCTTTATAAACAACCGGCGTTGGCTATTGACAATATTTTTTCTTTTCTAAATATTGTGAGCATAAATAGTAAAATTGTTTTTTCTAATAACACTAATGCAAAAGTTGTCCACAGAGAACATTTAAAATGTCTTTCAAAATCATTAGTTTATAAATAAATGCTGGAAAGAGTACAGATAAAAAATATTCTAATAAATAAAAAAGTTCATATACGTGAAATCACAAATACTATAGAGGAAACAGTACAAAATAAGACAAATGTTCTTGAAAAATGTGTATTTTGTAATTGGAAAAAAAAAACAGAAAAACATCAAATATTTGTAACGACCGCCAATCATATATTTGTAAAAAACATACAGTGCCTTGATTTGCAAAAACTGTTTACAACAAATGATGGAAGATAATTCTTTTTTTTTGAATAAAATATTTTATATAATTAATAATTTAATATATATTTTTATGCAAGTTTTATTTGATTATATTACCTATCAAGAAAAATATTTGACAATTTTTATTTATTTACGAATAATAAAATGATGATTATTTCAATTTATTGAGTTTTAATTGAAACTACGATTGACTTGGGCAACTCATACCCACATCAAAAGATTTTCTTTAAATAACCACTTTTGCCAACTACATTATTTTTTAAAAAACAAACTTTTCTTAGGTATATAAACTCTTACTCTAACCGATCTGGGCATATGGTTTTCGGCTATGGTGTGCAGCTTAACTGTACAACCTAAACAAAATCCAAGTCTTCCAATGAAAATACCTCTACTAAATAACCAAAACTATGTAACTAACGTCACTTTACATAGAGATCTAGATATTTTTATAGTGCAAAATGTTGCAAAAACTTTTTACAAACACATTCACTTTAAATTTCATAATCATCACAATCTCTATGATTTCCGAACTATTGACAAATGCTATTCCTGGTGACTCCAGAAGGCAGCTTAAATGTACCTTGTATCGTGACCTGCTAA